ACCATACGCCCAACACCATACCGAAAAAACACTTCTACGTCAAAATATACATACGCACACGCACACGCACACACAAACCTTCTATGCCTTCCTCTCCGTCCCTCTCTTCCCCTGTCGAATCGTGCGGTACGTACGACTGGCATCGTGGTTGTGGAGCAGATGGTTGGAAATGGATGGCAGCACATGATGGACCCCGCTCGACTCGACTCGATCCGAACCACCCGCGTCCCCACGCGCGGTGACCTTGTACGACAGACACATACAGGTACGACGCACATGCGCAACACAGCGGTACACATGCGGTTGAGTGGCCTCGCAATACTCCAGTCGATAAGCCCAGTCGACCACACGGCCCCTCATCACCATCCTCCGAACAACCGCGCTGCCGCGTCGCTCTTTTACTTTACACTATGTTTTTGCTCCTCACCACAATCCAATTGCTCCACTGCAGCAGTAACAGCAGAAGCAGCTCCGGTTGAGCCGCGTCCGGTGATGACCGCCACCAAAGGCCGTCGCGTCCTCGTTGACCACATTTCCGAGAGGGGGGGCGGAGACGGAGAGGAGCTGGCGGGGTGGGGTGGGGTGGTGGTGGTGGTGGTGGTGGTGGTGGTAGTGGTGGTGGTGGTGGTGGTGTGTTGGTGGTGGTGTGTTGGTGGTGGTGGTGGTGGTGGTGGTGGTGGTGCTGGGATCCATCATGATTTATACATCTGTCAACATCTCTCCCTCCCACCCCCAACACACCCCTCTCAACCCAAGTGTGTATGGTGTGTATGGACGTCGCTGCTGATCATCATGCACTGGTCGCCCTGCAGGTCCAACACACCGCTAGTGGATACGTCCATACAGCGCCGCCGGTCCGTCTCCACCTCCACCTCCACACCCAACCCTAAACCCAGCCCCACTTCCAGTAACTCCGGAGGCTCTAAAAACCCTTCGCCGACAGGCCGATGGTTTCGGAGGCCAAGGTCTCCGCCGACGCCCTCCTCCACCTCGTCTTCGTCTTCCATGCCGCGGTGGTGTACGGCGACTGTGACAGCAGCGGCAGCGGCGGCGGCGGAGGAGGAGGAGGAAATGGGGAGCGGTGACAACGGCGGCGGCGAAGCCGCCGTTGCCACCACCGCTGCTGCTGCCACCGGCGGCGGCGGCGGAGCCGGCGGGGGTACCTGGACGTGCCATCCCCAGTGCTCCCGAGGCTGCACCGGTAGCTGGTGCTGCAGCCGCAGCAGCTGCCGTTGCCGACGCACCTCGATCGCCGCCTCCACCGCCGCCACGTGTGTTCGTGCCGCCAGCCAATACTGGCTGTGAACCCGCAGCGCCAGTCGCATAGAGTCCAGGGCGCTGTCCGTAACGTCCTCCAGGCCTGAAGTGACCCACGGGTCACTGGCCGCGTCCTGAGCAGGTGGCGGCGGCGCCCCCGCCCCCGCCATGACCTGCAGGGCTCCGTCCTGGAGCAGCAGTGGCGGCTCGCCCAGCAGCACTCGCAGACACGCTTCCGTGGCGGCAGCGGTGGCGATGAGGTTGTAGCCGCCCTCCAAAAGCATCACTGTGGGTGCGAGCGCGGACAGCATGGCGGCGAAGTGGCTGAAGGCGGCGGTGCTGACGCGGCAGCCGCCCAACGGGTCGCCCTCCGCCGCGTCGAATCCCGCCGACACGATGACCACGTCGGGTCGGAACTCGGTTGCCAGCGGTACGACGACGTGGCGGAATGCGGCCAACATGTCCGCATCCCGCACCCCGGAGCCGTTCCAGGGCACGTTGACGGTGAAACCCAAACCAGGGCCAGAGCCGGTCTGAAGAAACGCCAGGGGAGCCGAAAGGAGGGGGAAAGGGCCGCCAGGAGCAAAAAGGGGGAAAGGGACGTGGAGTGGGTTTGAGGTTGGAGGACTTTTGGCGTGGGTGGTAAGTGGCGCATAACGGGGTTGGGCGGGAGGAGATCACCTTAATGCAGTGGAAAAGTGCAAGAGGAAGTGTTGGAAGAGAACCGAGGGTGAGGGATTGATACAACAATAATGATGTGGTGCAAGAGTCCAAGGAAGAGAAACAACCGCCAGCGTCCAGAGCTGGCGGGAACGATAAGAGGGGAAAGCGGAGGGAAAAGAGAAAAGCGTGAAAGGAACGCTTGTACGAAAGGAAAACATTTCGAGCGGAAAAATGGAGGCGAACGACTCGTTTAAATGATTTTGAGACGTCTATATGTGTACGGGGATTGCCTCACACGAGTTCCTCACATAAAAATATACAGTTTTGATGTAAAACGTGCAGGTTTCCTTGTAGCGTGCAAAGCTAAGCAAGGAAAATCATGGTGTTCTGCTTCTTTACATCATCGCAGTTACGAGCGAAGTGCTTTCAGATGACGGTTTTGGAGCTGCTGCTGGCGTAGGTGGTGGAGATTTGGTACTTTTCAAGTTCGTCCGCGCAGGTTGGGTCGTCGTAGAGGACTGCTGAACAATTGTGCGGGGCCAACCAACGTTTGACGATTTAATTTGATTCAGTTATTGCTTATTGCTCGGCTCGACTATCTATCAATGTTCAAAACCCCTTGGGGACGTAACGTAGTCGTGTGTAACGATAACAAATATCTTGATCTTGCAACCCTACAACAAGGAACTGAAAACCGTGGAATCCGCGCACCTCGCTTGCACCGCCGGTTCCCGGATAGAAGTTCCCATTGTCGTATCTGTGCGTAGACATGTACATCACGGACGGGTCCTCGTAGAAAATCTCCTGCGTGCCATTTCCGTGGTGCACATCCCAGTCCATGATGAGCACCCGCTTCGCCCCTGCCGCCTGCGCCGCCCTGGCCGCCACAGCCGCGTTGTTGTAGTAGCAGAAGCCCATGGCCACGGACGACTCAGCGTGGTGGCCCGGGGGCCGGATGATGGCGGCACCGTGGCGGGCGGATCCCGACACCACCCGCCGGGCAACCTCAGCCGCACTGCCGGCAGCCAGACGAGCGCAGGCCGCGGTAGAGGGGTTGAAGTAGCAGTCCAACACATGGGCGCTGCGCACGGAAAGAGGCGACGACGACGACAACGATGATGATGATAAAGAAGAGGAAGAAGGAAAAGGTTATCGGGGTGGGACAAAGGATGGGTTCGCGGTGTTCAAGAGCCATGAGTTGCACCAAGGGGCAAGAACTGCCCCCCAGACTTTAACAACAACTGAGAGGAAATAATAGCTGGGTGTTGCGACACGTTACATAGCAATGAAAGGCTGGAGGGAGGGGAGAAGGAAAGGATAAGGACGTGGGCTGCCGGAACGGAATAGGCAGGAACCTAAAAGGACGATGCGGTGACCGTGGAGGAGGAGGAGGAGGAGGAGGAGAAACACTGGAATGGCAATTAGGATGCAGCGGATGCGAGCAGCACGAACCACATACACAAAACGAAAAAAGTCATAACGAAGGTGATCCCATTGGTTCCTATTGGCCGAGGGCAGCGCGCATACAAAGACATTAATGTTGGTGTAACATCATGGCGCCGCCAACCTCCCCCCTCCCCCCTTCCTTCTGCTTCACCCGTCCTCTTGCTTCACCCGTTCTCTTGCTTCACTCGTCCGTGGTTCGTCTTACACCCTTCCCCCCTCCCCTGAACGGCGCGAACGGTTCAAGGCGGGGCAGCGGAACGCGCTCACCTTCGCTGTGGCATGTACCACTCCTCGCCCATATCGCTGTCCTCGCCGCAGGTCCCGCCGCTGTTGCCATAGCCACCGCGCTGCGCCCCGGCGGCGGCCTGCCGTCGTACCGCCGCCAGGCGCTCCGCCATGCGCGCCACCTCCTGCGTCCTCGCCTCCAGCTCCGAAACCAACTCCGGGTCGTGGACTGCCGCGAGCTCCTGAAGCGTTGCCTCCCGGCCAGTGATGCGACAGAACCTGCAGAAAAGGAAGATACGCAACGGAAAAAGCGAATAAGGAACAAGAAAGGAATGGGGGAAGGAAAAAACATGGAAGGGTGAATGTGTCGATGGGCCCATGGATGGGCAGGAGGTCGGGCACGGTTATCTGGAAGGTGTAATTCGGTTGGAGTTGGTTAAGAGTTGGTTAGCGCGCCCTCTACCCTGCCCCTACCTGGACAGCAGGCCGGACCCCTGCAGCCGCGCCATGATGGCGGCCACTCGCTCGGGACGTTCCGGATGACTGCGACCTTGATCTGTTGATGCCCCCGGGTGGGGCTCTTCTAAATGGGCCCTGCACCGGTCGTCGTACGCCAAAAGGACAGAGGCTTCCCCGCGGCGGCTGCCGCCGCCGCCGCCGCCGCCGCAACTACTGCCCGCGACAGCGGCGGTCGCATTCATCTGCTGCTCCACCTGCTGCTGCTGTTGGCCAGCTAGCATGCTCCGTACGGCACCCTCGAGCAGCTCCGGAACCACGACTTCCGTATCGGCAGGGTGGCGACAGAAGCGGCAGACGTTGCCCCAAAACACCCGCGTGCAATTCACGCAGAAATGCTGTTCCAATGCGTACGGAAAAACGTACGGAACTGGCGGCTGCGGCTGCGCCGCTGCGGTGGCGGAGAAGCTCCCCACGCCGGTACCAGCGCTGCCAAAGACCATAGCGGCGGCGCTGCCTTCTTCGTCTTCATCGTCTTCTTCCTCTTCCCCATCTATCAAATCCTCGTCTTCACCCACCAGAATGGCACCATGACGGGCCCGGGCATGGGTGTGGCTGTGGCCCTCCACCTCCCCGTCTAGCAGCTCCTCATCCTCATCCAAGCCATCTGCCGCGCTACCGCCCTCCACATGCACCTGTGCTACCTCGTCTTCCTCCTCAGCGCGTCGTCGCCGCTGAGCGGCAGCGGCCGCACCTGCGAGGATTTTGTCGGGCCCCCCGCCGCCGCCGCCGCCACCTTCCGCAACCTCACAGCGGTGATACCCCGCCATGACACCCATCGCCACGGACGGCGGGGCCCCCCCGCCAGGAAGCGGTGCGCTGCGCTGCATGTCCTGTTCGCGCTGCTGCTGGTGCTCGTGTGCGAGGCCGTTCGGGTAACGGCTCTGAGAGCCGCCACTGCCGCCAACGTGCATTAACCCTGGAGGAAGCGGCGGCTCCGCAGCGGCGTGGCTACCTCCCGCCTGTAACCTGTGGTGGTGCTGGGGCTGCTGGTTGTGTTGATGATGCTGAAGGTGCGGGTGAAGGGGGGAGGCGCACGCGCCGCCGGCGCCGCCGCCTGCCACCGGCGGCGAAGGCGGCGGTCGCGGCAGTTGCGGCGCCGTCATCGCCGGTACCGCCTCCGAGCCGCGGCCGCCTAACACCATATGGTCATGACAGCCCACATGGTCGTCGTCATCGTGCTGAACCTCTACGGCATCCTCGAATTCCTCATCGCCGTCGGTATCGCGCGCCGCCGCCGCGGCAGCGGCGGTGCCGGTTTGCAACGCCGCCGCGGCGCCGCCGCCGCCTCGCGTTTCCAATAATCCACGGCTGCTGCTGGTCAGGCTGCTCTCCCGGTCCATGAAATCCAGCTCTACTTCCACTTCGCCAGAGGTTCCACCGCCGGCGGAGCCGGCGGCGGCGGCGGCGGCTGCTGCCGCCGCGGCGACGCCTGCATGGAGGGGTGATGGCGGGGGCAGCTGCCGCGCTGCACCGCTTGAGAGGCCGCCGCCGCTGGCTTCGGCTGCTGCCGCGGAGGGGCCTAAGAAGGTTGAGTAAAAGGATGGAGTGGCGGTAGGGCTGACAGAGCCGACGAAGTGCGCCGCGGAGGACACGGGGACACCGCCTTCCGACTGGTGGAAGAACGAATGTAGTGGTGGCTGCTGCTGTGGCTGCACCGCCGCCGACGACATATGCTGCTGCATGAAATGGTGGTCAACGCTCTGCACGACGCCACGCATGGCACAGCCGCCGCCGCTGCAGCCGCCGCCGCCGCCACTAGCGGCGGCAGCAGCGGTGGCTGTGCCGCCGCCGCTGGTGACAAGCTGGGCATGGACTGAGGTAGTGGCTCGCGCGCGGCCGCTCGTGCCGACGCCGGCTATTGCAATGGGTATGGCAGGCGACGCACCTGGCGGGATGACGGCGTTACACATCAGCAGCGGCAGGGATGCCGTACGCGTGATGTGATCGGAGATGCAGCCTGGGGAGGACATGCCAGATGCAGCGGCGGCGGCAGCAGCAGCGGCACCTGCGGCGTCGCTTGGGGAGGTGGGCAGGCAGCCCACGGACCCATAGCTCGTTGCCGCCGCTGTGCCGTGACGCTGCCGTGCAGGTAGTGCCCCCTGGACGCTATGATGCATGTGCTGCTGCGCTTGTTGTGATCCTCCCGTCGGCGGCGGCGGCAGCCCCGGATGGGGGGGTGTTGGCGGCGGCCCTGGATGCGGTGGTGTCGGTGGTGGCAGCGATGGGGCACGCGCCATGGCGCTGCTGACCCTCGTAAACGCCGCCGCTTCTCCCTCGGCAGCCTCCCCCGCCGCCTCGTCAGAAGGCCTCCCATGAAAGCCGCTGCTGCGGTACGCTGCCCCTGTGCCCACACCCACACTGTAGGTCTGCACCGCTGCGAGCGTTGAAACCGATGCTGCATTTGCTCCTGCCTCGAAGCTGTCTGCTCGGCCCTGTACGATGTCGTCCGGATGAACAGTCACGGTGAGTTGCTCTGGCCCTCTGCTGGCGGCGGTGGCGGCGGCGGCAGCGGCAGCCTGTTCGTAGGGCATGGCGGTATATACCACCGCTGCCGCAGCAGCGGAGACACCGCTGTGGGCGCTGTAGGTGGCGGAGGCGGCGGCTGCAGGGTCCAGGGGGGACATGCTGTGGGAGACAAACTGCGGAAAGGAAGCAGAGAAGCGGCCCAGCGCCGGACGATCGGGATTGGGAGTAGCCGCTAACCCCGCCCCCGCTACGGCCGAGTCGCTGGACGGCGAGGTACTGACTGCACGGTCCGCGTGCGTGGCTTTGGCTGTTCCCGCAAGCGGTCCAAAAGTCAAGCTGTCAGAGTTACGGGATGGAGACGCGGGGTCGCTGCACTCGAGGCCAGCTTGGTGCACGGCGGAAGTTGTTGGCGCCGTAGCTGCCAAAGCTGGTTCGTATGAGCTAACGTGATGGTACCTGATGTGAAATGGATTAACTGAAGATCCGGAAACCATAATCCCCGCCTGCGCGCGGTGTATTTTGGGGGTCGGGAAGGTTGAGCGCGCACAGAAGCTACCTGCATTTGGGCGTTTCAGAAGGCAAACTTGGCCTGGCACAGCACCAGCGCCTGCACTATGGTATACAGCTTACAGAGAGCTACATTGTTCTTGAGCTCTGCAAGAGTTTTAGTTCGGTTGCCTTGTTGACAGTTCATACACGGTCATGTCCGTACAATGTGATGGCGGTTTGAGTGTCTTGTCGACTTGACGGAACCCTTTCAAGTTTCATGCATCCAGAAGCTTATGAAATTGTGAGTTGTATTATTGTAAGGGTTTTCAAGCTGCACACCGAGCTTACCTCAGTACAGGTGGGCCTTACGAGGGCACCAGCGTGACTAGAGCACCTTGCCGCCAAGAGCAATCGCCGAAGGAGGTCCTCTGAGCCAGCAGATAGGTTATTGAGGGTGTTTGCAGCTTCTCGCGGGTCCAAGGGGCTAAAATCCAAAACTTTTCAAGTTTTCTAAAAGGATCGGCCAGGGGCCGGACCAGTCACCTAGCGGCCGGCCCGTAGCGTTTAAACTGAATATAAATGTTTTCTGAGGAGCAATGTCAGGTTGCATGGCCTGAGCGCGAAACTCAGTCTGTGGGGTCTACTTCAAGACGTACGATGTACGACTTAAGCAAAATTTCATGTTTTGTTTCCGCAGGTGATTGTTATGCTGACAGTTTCATGGTGTTGAACTATTAACCTTTATTGCCGTTGTATTTGCGTTTTCACAAATTGAACGACGTCGTTGTGCTGCGATGTGTGTAGGCTAGTGGTAGCGTTACTGAGAACCCAGGGTTATAGATATTATGATGAGATAGCTGGAACAAGACAAACACTTGAGGTAGCGCCGCCGGGTCCGTGGGACAGCGGAACGGGCGGCGAAGCCGCAATCGCAATTTGCTGCTGCGTACTATATTCCAATAAGATAGCTGACGATGACACTAAAGGTTTCAGCTCCTGATGGCGTCAAGGTGTGTATGCGTATAGCAGCCAGCAGGCAGTGATTACGCGCAAAGGGTGCTTGCTGGCGGGGCCTGGGTAACCGTTTTTAACTACGGTTACGTGCGCTTAAGGGCAAGGAAAGAGCGCAAGCTCCCTGCGACAGCCACTTACAGGCAGCCTCAACGAAAGTCACACCGTTGTCACTATCGGTTTCTCTCCAACTACCATCAACCGCGACACTCCGGTCGCATGTCGCAACTTTCTATGTCCATGTCACCCATTTCTGGTGACCGGCATAAGGCATGCTGAAACTGCCTCTACCACCATCGTAATCACAAACGGCTCGAGACAATTTTCACTCTGCATCTACACAGTCCTGACGTCAGGACAGCCAGACTATCCAGCTAACCTGATCATCGCTTTATCCTCATAACAATTATACGATTTCACTGTGAAGTGTACGGCAGGCGGGTTGCTGGCCAAAAACGCAGCTGCGGCCGAGGTGTGCCTCGTCACCGGTGACATGGTTTGCGTGAACCCGACGGCAACATCCAAACCCCCCACGACTCATCTCGTGAACCCGTACAAACACCCCGCGCCACACACACGTACATACATACATACATACATACATACATACATACATACATACATACATACATACATACATACATACATACATACATACATACATATTCCGCAGGTGTACCACATCACCAGCGGCAAGACGCTGCCGCAATGGCTGGCCGAGAGCAAAAAGAAGTCGCTCAAAAAGGACGAGGCATACCGCCGGCGGCTGGAGCTCATCCAGGACTTCGGCTTCAGGTCGGCCGCCCAACGGATCAAAATAACACCCGACCGCAACTACATCTTCGCCTCGGGGTACCACCCCTTCTCGGTGAGTTGGTGTTCGGGGGGAAGGGGAGGGGAGGGGAGGGGAGGGGGAAAACCCATGCAAGGAAACCAAAGTGCGAAACTGAAGGAGGGGAAGAGGGGAAACGACGATGCACAGATGATTGACAAGGATATAGGGGAAAGAGGGGGGAAAGAGAGAGGGAAGAGGGGGGAAGAGGGGGAAAATAGGGTTTTAGGTACGTGCGTAGTAGTGCCCTTGGCTAGGTGGGGCCGGGTCGGGCGAGGCTGGGAGGTGGAGGGGAACAGAGTGGGGGGTAAAACGGTAAGGATAGGGGGGTGAGGGGGGAATGGGGGTGAGGACATAAACAGGGGATATATTCACGGTCCGATCAGGTCTGGCGCAACAAATGGTTTCGGAGGGAGAAGTCGTACAGACAGCACCTGGGGGGAGGGAGTGGGGTGCCGTTAAAAGGATAGGACGTGTCAACGGGTGGAGCTCTGTCCCTCATGCCGTACACAATATCGTACGAATTAGGTGTTTTGCGATGCGCAGATGACGTGTGCTGTCGACAGTATGTGGTTTCCGTGCTCTATGTATGTGTATGTGAATGTATATAAATAAAATATGTGTGCACGTGTGCATGTATGTATGTATGTATGTCTATCCGCATTCTGCACTCTCCCGCCACAGGTCCGCTGTTTTGATCTGGCCAACTTGTCGATGAAGTTCGAGAGGAATCTCGATGCTGAGGTGGTTGACTTTTGTGTGCTGTCCGAGGACTTCTCCAAATTGGCGTTTCTTTGTTCGGACCGGTCCATCTCGTTCCATGCTAGATTTGGTGAGCAGTGGGGGGAAGGGGGGAGGGGGGGTTAACCGGGGGGTGGGATGGGGAAGCTTCGGGTCGGTGATGAAAAGAGGTGCAGCTCTGAAATGGCGCCGGCACACCTTGCTGGATACGGATAGACAGACAGACAGACAGACAGATGAAACACGAACCTGTTGTGTACGGGCCCTGTAGTTCGGGCGCTGTGTTCTGGCTTCCGCCCACGGGACACCACCTGCCTCCCTCCCCCTCCCCCTCCCCCTCCCCTCCCCCTCCCCCCCCCCTCCCCCTCCCCCTCCCCCTCCCCTTCCCCCTTAGGCTCCTACTACCGCACTCGAGTTCCCAAATTCGGTCGGGATCTGGCCTACTTCCCCCCCACTGCCGAGCTGCTGGTGGTGGGGTCGGCGCCCGAGGTATACCGCCTCAACCTGCAGGAGGGCCGGTTCATGAGCCCACTGACCACCACCTCCCCAGCCGTGAACACATGCGGTGCGGGCTGCTGTTGAGAGGGGTGCGGGGTTAGCGGGGTTAGCGGGGTTAGGGGGGTTAGCGGGGTTAGGGGGGTTAGCGGGGTTAGGGGGGTTAGCGGGGTTAGCGGGGTTAGCGGGGTTAGGGGGGTTAGGGGGGTTAGCGGGGTTAGCGGGGTTAGGGGGGTTAGCGGGGTTAGGGGGGTTAGCGGGGTTAGGGGGGTTAGCGGGGTTAGGGGGGTTAGTGGGGTTAGGGGGGTTAGGGGGGTGATGGGAAGGTGGAGGGGGGGGGGTGGAGGGGCCGGGCCGGGAAGGGGAGGTGAGGTGAGGGGGGCATCCAGTGAGGTGTGATGGTGTTGGTGGGTTGGTGGTGGGGATGATGCAAAAAATGAAGGGCGGGGAAAGCCACCCAACTGCCGGCGTCACAAAGTAGTGCTCTGCTCCACGCTGCACCACCGTGTCTCATGACCCTCCATCATCACTCCGCTTGTGCCCTTGTCCTCCTCATCCTTGATTTGCCCGTCTGCCTGTCTGTCTGTCTGTCTCAGGCATCTCCCCGGCGCACGGTTTGTTCGCGTGTGGGGGGGAGGACGGGCAGCTGGAGTGTTTCGATTTGCGGCAGAGGGAGGCGGTGGGGCTGCTGGATGCGGCGGCGGCGGCGGGAGCACCCGGTGCGTGCGTGAGTGGGGGGTGGGGGAGCGGGGGGTGGGGGAGCGGGGGGGTTATTGTGATGGGTGCGGTGGTGAAAATGAAATGGGTTTTGCGTGGGGCCGGGTGGTGCGGTGGGGAATGGAGGGGCGGCCACCTGGGGCTGCGCTTGTGTGCGTCACACGCGGTTATTCGTACAATGTCGTACAATTTCCAACTCAGTACAACGTCCAACACGAGGCCTCAAAAACCCAATTTCAGCAACACATTTTAAATTTGGCACGCCCCGTCTTTTTCCCTCCCTTCCCCCCCCCGCCCCCAATGCACGTGTGCACATATAAACACCCCGGGCAGGCGAGCAGCTAACCGCGCTGCGCTTCGATGACGGTGGCTTGCACGTGGCGGTTGGTACGTCTAACGGTATTGTGGCGCTGTACGACCTGCGGTCGCAACGGCCGCTGGTGGTCAAGGATCATATGTACGGCAGCCGTATCGTGGACATCAAGTTCCATTCGTACGGCGCTGACACGGCCACGTCGGGTGGCCGGCGAGTCATCTCCGCCGATCGCCACATTGTCAAGGTAGGTCCGCACATGCATACATACATACATACATACATACATACATACATACATACATACATACATACATACATACATACATACATACATATATGCCCGATATGTACTTTCGGGCAGTGCCGTCTTTTTGCCAAACCCCAGACATGTAAAAACCCGGGAAATCAAAATCCCCAATCTCGTCCCATTTTCCGTACCTCAGACCGCCATCGCCAAGGAAGCCCCAGAAAACCCTCTAATGAAAGCCCTGAGCCGTCACCCCCCGCCTCTTGGCATCAGCTTCACTCGCTCGTGCTTCCTCCTTTCCCCCCCTCCCCCCTCCCGTCCCCCGCCATGTCCCGGTGTGTGTGTGTGTATACCAGGTTTGGGATATCAACACGGGAGAGGGCTACACCAGTGTCGAGCCCGAGGAGGGCGACATCAACGACGTGTGTGTGTGGCCTGACTCGGGTATGTCTGTGTTGTGTGTGTGTGTGTGTGCGTGTGTGTGTATGTGTGTGTATGTGTCTGCACATGCGTGTTTTTGACTCAGCTGACTACACGTCCCAGCCGCTACGGGGGGGACGGGAGAGCGGTGGGACGGCGATAATTGGACTACCGGGCGGGGGGGGGTACACTTTTTGAGTGATGTTGGCCATCATCCGGGGAATGAAGGTGGGATTTGGGTCATTCGCCTTTCCACCTGCCCCCCACCCCCCGAACACCCCTACATAACACACACTCACCGCGGGGCACCCCACCCTCCCGCTCGCACACACATACACACACACACACTTACACTTTCCCCGCCCCCGCCCTCCTTTCCCCCCACCTGGCCCCAGGCCTCATCATGGTGGCCAACGACACTCCCCACATGCACGGCTACTTCGTGCCCTCCCTCGGACCCGCACCCCGCTGGTGCTCGCACCTGGAGGGGCTGACGGAGGAGCTGGCGGAGGCGGCGCCGACGGTGTACGACGACTACCGCTTCGTGACGCGCGCGGATCTGAGCCGGCTGGGTCTAGATCACTTACTGGGCACCAGTTTCCTACGAGCTTACATGCACGGGTTTTTCGTGGATAACAGGTGTGGGGTGTGTGGGGGGGGGGTTGAGGGGGAGGTGGGGGGGAAGGTCTGCGTGTGTGTGTGTATGGAGATGGCGGTGATGGCGAGGGAGGGGTTGTTGGAGGGTGGGCGGTTATGGAAGTGGTACGAAAGGAAACAAAACAAAGCCCCAACGTCAGCTGGAGGGATTCGGCGTGAAAAGGGGCGAAGGTGGCGTTGCATTGTGTTTTTCAATCGGTGGTGGGTTTTCCCCCTAACCTTTCCCCGTAGCTTTCCTACCTTCCTTTTGCTCGCTGCCCAACTTCCTCCTCCTCCTCCTCAGGCTGTACGCCAAGGCCAAGGCCCTTATGGACCCCTTCGCGTACGAGACCTACCGACAGCAGCGCATCGCCAAGAAGCTGGAAGACGAACGCAAGGCCAGGATCTCCATTGTCAAGAAACTGCCAAAGGTATACGGCAGTACGACACCAACATGAACATCAACAAGCGACACACCAGTAGCAGCAACCCCATCCCCCTGGCTGCGTTCCTCTTCTCTCCATCATCCTCTTTTTTCGCAGTTTTGCCTGCCCTGCCTTAAAAAACTGTTAAACTGTTAAAATCGTTAGGAAAACCCGTTACAAGCAACCTCAATCGTCCCGTCACTGTTCCGTTATTGCCAACTACCACCGCCAGGTGAATACGAAGGTGGCGGCACGACTAATGGCCGAGAGCGCCGCCGCCGCCACCGCCGCTGCGGGAGGCGAAGCCGCTGCCGCCGCCGCCCCGTCCAAGGCCAGTCAGCGCGGCGCTGTCGCCAACCCGCTGGCTGACCCCCGCTTCGTCGCCATGTTCGAGGACCCCGACTTCACGATTGACGAGGAGGCGGAGGAGTACCGATTATTGCACCCCAATGCGGCTCGGGAGAAGAAGGCGCAGGACGATCTCATTAGAGAGCATTTCCAGGTGGGTTTCAATGGGTTTTGATGAAGTTGAAATTTTAAAACTTGGGGTTTTAAAAATTTGAAACTTTAAAAACCACATCAGCCGCCAGTGAAATTTCAACTGGGGGCTGATGTGGCTTTAAAGGTTTTGGGGGTTGTTTTTGGAGATTGTGCGCGTGGGTTTCGGGGCTGCAGGGTGCGACACCAGTGCCCGTGTGCACCATCATCCCCCATCCTCATCGCTTTCCTTTGAGCGAGCGGTGTCTCACGCTGTCTATTGGGAAAAGGGTGCTCATCTACGCAGAAACCGAAACCGCTCATTCCTTCGCTCTGAAACCTCGTAGGAGGTGCTATCAGGCTCTGAAGACGGCGACGACGATGAAGAGGACCATGGCGACGGCGACAGCTTGGACGAGATGGACGAGCAGCCCGCTGAAGCGCGCGCTCGTCCCGTCGCCGCCAAGAAGTCCAACAGCAAACGGCTACCCGAGCGGCGGACGGAGGAGGGGCCGGCGGCGAAGCGATCCAAGACGGCGCCTGGCGGCGGCGGCGCCACCGCCGCCACCGGTCCGAGCATGTTTGTGGCGCGCGACTCTGCCGCAGCGGAGGCGTTCCGACGCGGGGAGTCTCTGGCGGAGAAGCTCAACCAGCCACTGGCGGATCGTCTGGCGGCGGAACCGACGGCGGCGCCGTCACGGCGGCTGGGCGGCAGCCGGGAGGTGTCGTTTGTCCCGCGTGGCGGTGGCGGTGGCGGCCGGGGTTTCGGCGGGAGGGGCCGAGGCGGGCTAGTGCGAGGGACTCGAGATGGGGATGGAGATGCGGGTGGTGGGTTTGGGGACGGTGGGGGAAGACGAGGTGGGCGAGGAGGTGGCGGTAGGCGGGGAGGTGGAGGTGGTGGTGGTAGGCGGGGAGGTGGGGGTGGTGGTGGTAGGCGAGGAGGTGGCGGTGGTGGTGGTAGGCGAGGAGGTGGCGGTGGTGGTGGTAGGCGAGGAGGTGGCGGTGGGCGAGGTATCCGAGTTCGAGGTAGGGGTAGGCGGTAAACCATACACGGGGTAATAGGCGGGTTATTTCGTGAGGTGATGATGTGGCGGTATGTATGTGTGCAAGGGGGGTTGGGGGGAATTGGAGGGGAAAGGGTTCCAGGATGTGCGGGGCCAGCTACGTCGTGCTTGGGCGGACAAAAGGGGGGTCCAAGGAGGTTAGGGTTCCACCAGCTTGTTGTTGTTGCGGTGGTGGTGGTAACGGTAAAAGACTGTTTGTTTTGAGCCCTCCGAAACCAGGGGGGTTGGGGAGCCTGCGGAAAGTGACGGATATCGCGATACCGCTTCCACACTTGGTTTTAGGCACCGTGTTGGACGTCGTACCGCGTTCTATATCCCAGCTGCGGTGAGTACGAGCCGAGGGGAGACATAAGGAGTGTATGGGCGGGGGGGGCCCAGGAGGAAGGGAGGAAACCTGTCCTGGGGGTAGGGCACTGCTTTTGCGAAGAGGCTGGGAGTCACGGCGGAGCGATGAGGGCTGCCTGTCTTTGCCGTATAGGTAGGTAGGTAGTGAGGGGGCCTTATTGACGGCTTATTTGGGCCCTCTATGGGGGACCGCCCACAGCAATAGAGACGGACAGCAGGTATGAAGGTATGTCGGTAGGTAGTGAGACACATACACAAACACGCGCGCGCGCGCAGGGCCGCGCGCCCATGGACGAGCAGTACGAGGGGACTGCGGGGACCCCTCACGACCCTCTCCTCCCGCCGCTAGGGGGAGAGTGCTTCGGCGGTCGTTCCTGATGGGGCATACGGTTAGGTGCCCCCCGCCAGCCTCACACTCCTTAGGTGACCGGATCGGTACGTAAGAGAAACACACACGCAAGCAACGACAGGAGTCGACCGGCCACCACACCCTCATTAAGCCGCCGCAGCAGCATACCTACCTACCTACCTAAGAGGGTGGGGCCTCCGCAATCCCTCTTTACACCCACCCTGTCAGAAGCGCCTCAGTACCACCGCAGCAGCACTGCGTTGATGGTAAATGGAGTGCAGTGCCGCTACCGCGCCTTTGCAATTTCAAAACCCTAACAATGAATGATGTACATTGCTCAGTAAATTTGGATTTTTGAAATTTGGATGAATGGCGAGGTGCGAAGGCGTGGCCATGTCCCTCCGCCGCCGCTCCTAAGCGGCTCGGGTGGATACCTTACAATAAAAGCTGCGAGAGTCCCCCACAGCCGGTTGCGCCTTCCCTTAGGCGGCTGTGCCCTCCTCCAACCAAGCCCCATTTCTTGTCGGACGAGAGCTGCTCTTAAGAAATCCTGCCTAGCTGCTGACCTACGTTACCCCTCTACCTACCAAACCTCCTCGGCCAAACCACATCTCCGCATATCCTCATATGCCGCGTCGTCACCCGTGTTATGCCGCTATAAATATCAAAAGAATACCTTCGATCACTATTTAGTAGTACAGCGCTGTCGTACAGTCACATGCATGCAATAACGAAGGCTTATAATTGCGGACACGCCGCCGCCAGTCCAGGAATGCAGTCGTTGGTTGGTTTTCGAAACCCGTCGGGGGCCCCTCTTTCCTCGCTACCACCACCACGTTTGTCATCCCGGCAGCCGCTGACCCCCTACCAGCCTACCAGCCATCCGCACCAGCCGACTTGCCGCCGCCCCTCCGGCTCCCGGCCTTGTTGGAGTTCTTGGAGGCGTTGCGACTGGCTCGCGACATGGCCTGCCGCTGGCCCTGCTTTCGTCGTTGGGCCGCCACAATCTGCTGCACCTCATGCTCGCCAAGACGTTGACGCCGGCCCCCTCCGGCAGCTGCAGCCCGATGGCCCCCACCGCATTCTCGACCGCCGCTCCGCCGCCGCCGGGAGCCCTCACCACCGTCGCCGTCATCACAGCTACTCGCGCTGTCCTCGTCCTCCCCCTCATCACTTATTGCGCCGCTCTTGACGCTCATCGCCTCATCAGATGATCTGGCCCCCGCCTCCTCCTCGTCGTCCTCCTCACCGCCTCCGCCTCCGCCTCCGCCGCTCCGTTTGCTCCGTATTTCACGTCGCTGCGGTGACCCGTCCGCTGCCGTGCCCATTGCCAACCGCCCCAACCGGTCCTCCACATCACTCTCCCCCGTCGCCTCTTCCTGGTCCTCTTCGCCCAACCCAGCAGCGCTGCCCACCCCCCCAGCCCCGTCCACATCTCTCCCTTTGCCTTCACGCCCGCTAGTGCCGCCTCCCCCTCCCTCCTCCTCCCCGTCCTCCTTTCCCCCCGCTTCTCGGTTCGCCACACGTCGCTCGGCCTCTAGATGCCCCTCCGCCGTCACCTCCTCCTCGCTTTCCTCTTCACCCTCCTCTCCTCCGCTGTCCCCGTCCTCCCCTGCCTCCACAACTTCAGCCAGATACTCTTCTAGGACCTTCTGATGCTGCCTCTGGAACCCGCTCGCCTCCAACGCCACATCCAACACCCCCTCGCCGTCCGCCGCTGCCGCCGCGGCAGCGGCCGCCGCCACGTCGGCAAACGCGGGTCGTACGTACGGCAGGCTCTTGTCTTGCTCAGGTACATAGCCGATTTTCTTGCTAAAGAAGCGGATGATGCACTCGACGTCGCGCGTGAAGAGCTCCTCAGCGTTTGCGTGAGTGATGGACACCATTTGTGGGAAGTCAATGAGGGTCAGCTCCTCATCTTCATCTGGATGCGGCCGCGGCCCGTGATGAAATTGACATGGAAAAAACACGGAGGAGGAGGGGGAGGGGGAGAGGGAGAGGGAGAGGGAAGGAGACACGGTGTGTGTGTGGGGGGGGGGAGAGAGAGGGGTAAAGGTTTACTTAGGGGTTGACAACCTCGGCACAACCTAATGAAGACAACTGCAAAAGGACTGGCGGGCCTTGCTCCAGGGGACCCCTGGCCCAGTCAGCCCTGACCTCGGCCCTGACCTCAAAATGGTTTTTAACGAAAATTAACGGAATCGTCAACGGACTCCTACACAGAACTCATTTCAGGCTCCCGCGCGGTGGTGGAGCCGGGGGATCCGGGGGGTCTGCTGGCTGGTGTGTGAGACGAGTGAGACCGGTGACTTACTGATGAGCAAGTTGAATTCGTTGAAGTCGCAGTGGATGAGTCCCTTCGCCGCCAATCGGGATATGAGGTCCATGCAGGAGAGGTACACGCGGGCGGGGTGGGCCATGGCGCGGATCTGGGGGAGCAGGGGGTGGGTGGGTGGAGAAGGGGGGTGAGAGGGAAGCCGAGGTGACGGAGGGGGGACATACGGGAATGGGCCTGTCCGGGAGGACAGAGTGGGGAAGCGGCAATGGAGAGGCTAGGTGGGTGAGACAGGGGGTTCAAAGTGAAGATGCGCAGAGCACTTGGGAAGTAACGCCAGGAGGGGAGTAAGGAGAGACGCGCAACGAGACGTGCTAGGGCGGCGGAGGATTACAAGGACGGAGGAGGAGGGCAGTGCGCAGAAAGGTGCGGGTTGAGGATTGCGGGTTAAAATTTCGAAAGAGTATGTCCGACGTGGACACACATGTACGCACCTGAACCATGGGTCGGGCGTTAACTAGTCCCATCAGAACCGCGTGGCGGTTGTTGTCAATCGCCTGGGGAACTGGGAAGCCGTGTTCGTACAGCGCTTTCATGAAGGCGTACTCCTTCAGCGCGGCCAGTCGGCTGAGGTACAGCCAGCTGTAGTTCTGGCGCCGGCCCAGGTAATCGCGCTTGGACTTGACAGCGCGGAAAGACGTGCGGCCAAGGCGATGCAATTTGAGGGCGAAGACCTCCCCATCGTCGTTCGTCACTTCGAAGATGTCCGACTCTTTGCCGACGCCAATTTGGCGGCCGACACCGCTAATGTGCCCGCGGCTAACGAGAGCGCGGATGGCCAAGAAATCATAGCCCATGTACGTGAGCCGATATCCATCATAGTACTTGCTGTCATGGTGCAAAAGCTTGTGCCGCATGAGCGTCTTAATGCTTTTGAAAGCGCCGCCATGCTTTAGTCCAGAAATGCTGTCTATAAGCTCTAATGGAACGAGCTCGTGATTCTTTTGGCCCATTTCAACAGCCGTAAGAACGCGGAAGTCATCTTTAGACAAATAACGAAGCGCATTGACATCTAGCTTCATTTTTCAATACTTTGTTCTGGGTGCTATGTCATATGGAATAGCGCAATAACTCAACTGTAACGGGAGACGCCTTGCCTACAAAGCATGACTAAGGCTGTCGCACCGTACCCTGGCCTAAACACCCTTTTCCAGGGTGTATTTCCATAAGCTCATGATAAATACGCCCAATGTAAGACGTGATATCATTAAACGGGAGCGCATGATAAAAAATCCAAACCCTCATACTGCAACAAATGTATGTGGCAGGTGTTCCGACAGGTAAAATAAGTGGTTATCTCACAGGGGAAACAAGACGCAACGGGCCATATGCAACCTACGGCAGCCAACTGCTCGGTAAAACTATGTGAGCCCACTTATACAGTCTTGCACGCGCCTCTTCGGCGGTTTAGACAGATGGCCTTCATGCTGCGCAAAAAAACGTTTGCATAATCCTGCCCTACAGAGGAGCACACTGTCGGTACTGGCACATTCCACCGGGCTGGTAAATCCTGGATCATGCAGTCCATACCACCTGGCAGCCACCCACCCAACTTTGCCTACCACGACTACGAAACACTTTGGTTGGTACGAGAGCAATGCCGCCTGCAAATAAACCCCACTGACTCGCTCCCTGTTGGAGAACGCTCCTTCCCTCCCAACCCCACCCCAAACCCGAGGCATTGGCAATCGGGATTGATTACGTCATCATCGTACCCCCAGCCCACCTGCATCGAGACACCCCGTTTAAACTGCTGATAATGACAGCTGAGTTTTTCACTCCTTTCCGCTCGCGTCAATTGCCCAAGCTTTAACACAACACCGTTCGGCCGTTAAAGGTCTAACAGCATTCGACCCAAGGGTCACAAAAAATCGTCATCGTCCGAGTCAATGTACCACCCGGGCGCACGCTGGCGCTTCGGCTTGGGCGGCTCTAGCTGATCACCCCCCGCCGCCTCCATGGCTGCTCGCCCTCGGACGTTCCCCTTGGCGCCTCCCCCGCCAGCGACTGGGCCGGCTGACGCTGCCGTACCGGCGGTGGCTGGCAACAGCGCCTTCGGCCCCGCCGCCGCGGCCGCTTTATTCTCCGACCTTGATGATGCACAGCCCGCCGCCGCAGCTGCCGGTGCAGGCGCCGATGGCTTCAAAGGCAGCTGTATGTTGGGGCCTGCAGAGCTGCGCAATGGCTGCGCGGGCGAACTATCCGCCACGTTGGCAGCACCGGCGGAGGCGGCGGAGGAGGACGCCGGCTTGGCGCCTCCAGCGGTAATGGCTGTAGCCGCAGCAGTCCGCCCGCTGGTTCCGGAGCCCGCCGGCGTTGCCTGCCTTGACGACACGAGCGCGCCAGTTACGCTACTGGACGGCTTGCTACCGCTTCCGCCGCCACTTCCGCCGCCACTAACGGCCTCAGCAGCGGACTTACGGCCCACCACTGACCCATGGGCAGGTTGCGGCTGCGGCCCGCTGCCAGCGATTGGGTGAGTTACAGCCGCCGTCGGTCCTATTGCGCCGGAGGGCGCCCGCGGTGCTGTGGCAGCGGTGACACCGGCAGTAGCGCCGGGTCGAGTCGGGATGTTGGCTGCTGCTGCTGCTGCTGCTGCTGGAGGCAGCGGGGCGCTAGCAGCCGCCGGCGGCGCCGTCCGAGGTGGCGGCTGGGATCCGGATCCGGGGGGCCGTCGCGGCTCCTCCCGTGCCCCTGCCGCAGCCGCTACTACTGCGGCTGCTGCTGCTGCTGCGGCGGCGGCAGTCAAGTTTGTGACGGAACGGCCTACGGGCGGCAAAGAGGACGGTGGCCCCCGACCACCTGGGGGGCTGGCGGTGGGACCCGATGGCGTCGTTACCAAGGGCCCCGTAGTGGCCGACGGCTTGACGGCTGACGGGGTAGGTGCTGCCGTAGCCGGCATCGTACACCGGGGAGTCGTCATGCCGCTGCCGCCGCCACTGTACCGGCCCCTCTGTGCCAGCGGCGCCGCCGGCCCAACGGGGATTCCTGTACGACTGCCGGGTGCCAGCGGAGTGCTAGCTCTCGCACCCGTGCCCCGGCTCTTGATGCCCAGGCCGACGCCGCCAACGCCGCCACTGACGCCACTGCCAGCACGGGCACTCTGCCCTCTCACCGTTGTGGGCGTGGCGACGGCGGCGCCAGCGGCGGCAGCGGTTGCCGTGACGGCGCCAGAGGCCGCTGCGCCCGCGGCAGCTGCATCCGACAGGCGCCGCTCCTCCTCGTCCCCCCCTTCGATGGCCTTCCCCGCCACGCAGCAACTGAAGATGAAAGACACGTCGGGTGCCGCCACGCGGCGCATCACGGCGTCGGGGACGGTTTCGGGGCTGGGGTGGTGGCCCCAGTTGGCAAGGTCCTCCTCAGCGGGCTCACCGGACTGAAGTGTCCAGTGGGGCAGATGTACAACGATGGAGGGCAGTGTGGCAGTGTGGCAGGGGTCATCAAGGGCAGGTGCAGAGTGGCAGGGGCCCTGCTCTGTGAACATGTCGCACAAAGGGACGAACGCGCGCGAGGAAAGAGATAAAAGATAGAAACCTAAGGGATAACAGGCCGCGAGAACAGAGGCAAACGGCGCCATCTGTAGCGCGTACTATTTAAAGGCGGAGCGCAGAAAGAAAGAGCTGCGCAGAGAGCAATGGAGAAGGACAAAAGAAAGGGCGACAGGAAAAGGTCTTTAAGCCCGGCCTCAGTGATCTTTTGTGGGATCGAAATTCGGCAACGCACGCGAGGCGGCTGATTGAAGTGAGGCTGGTGGACACACACACCTCCGGGGTGGTGAACCCCCGCGGTGACCGTACTTCTGCTCCAAGCAATTGCAACCCGTCTAAGACCCACACCGCCGCCCTGTCCACCAATCCAATCTGGCACCTCGTTCGACACACTCCGTCAGGTGTACCCGCTGCACCCCACCCCACCCCACCCCACCCCACCTGGCGTTTGTGCACTGGTGGCAGCCTCCCCACTACACCCCCAGCAGCATCGCCTCCCGTAGCTGGCACAGCCGCAGCCGCCGCTGCCATTGCTTTTGCCCGGCGGCAAGGCCTCCCATGGCCCTTGTCGTCTCCTCCGTCTTCGCCGTCGTCGTCTCCGTCGTCGTCAGCCGCCAGGTCGATGGGACCGTCCTTCGCCGCCGCCGGAACTGAGGGCAGCGACGGTACATCTGCCCCAAGTCCCGGGCCGCCGCACATGTAGTCGTACGTGTCGGACCACGAGTCGGCGTTCAATCTAAAGAGCTCCCTGAGGTCCTCCGCCGCCATGACGTTGGCGGCAGCCTTGCCTGTACGACAGGAATGGTAGCGGCGGCGGCAGCGGCGGCGGTAGAAAGTGGTCATGACGGGCAGGGCCGTGTGGGGAGGGGGGGCCGCTGGTCGGACTTCGGAGCGTGGGGCCGGAGGTGGAAGAGGAGGATGTGCGTGAGTGAATGTGAGCTTGAGAACCCGGATAAAGTGCGGAGTGCGTGTGGAAGAGGGAGAGGGAGGTGGAGATGGAGATGGTCGTGGAAATGGAAGTGGAAGGGAGGGATGGGGCAGTGGCCAACGGTCAACGGCCAACGGTTACGGGTAAAGCAACCCGGGGAGGGAGGTTATTGCTGATAGGACCACGGGGTGCCTCCCAAGGGCCTCAAAACGAAGAAATAAATTCGAATTACGAATGACTCAACACGATCCAAACACCCAATCACAAAACCAGCTCAGCACCAGTCAGCCTATCTCAGGCTAATTCATCTCCTCTGGCGGGTCGTTGCCGGTTCCATGCACAGCTTCCCAATCTGGACGACCCTGCCCCGTAATCCCCCCTAATCCAATAGTCCTGATGCCGTACTATACTGCTGTACTACAGCTAATCAAAAAGCACGATGCACAAACTGTTTTTTCACAAAGACACACAGCGGTTAAAGGTAGGTATGTAATCGCTTCCCTCCTTTCCCTCCCTCCCTGCATCATAAGAGGATAAAAAGGGCACCCACGTGCACAGCATCGTAGCGACTGCTACAGCCTCTACAAAAAGAGGCTATTAGATGAAATGAAAAAAATGAGTTTACACGAAACACTGTGGTACAGCGTGCCCTAAGGTTCTTCTCCAGGATTTACTTGAGGTTCTTCATTTTCTGGACATCCCCACCTCCCATTCCCCTCGCCTCAACTTCCTACCATCCACGCGCCACCCCCCAGCGCACCATTTTTGCTGACCAGTTGTTTGAGTCCCTCCTTGCTGAGCTGCCGCTGATACACCTTCTCCTCAATACTCCCCGTGGACAGGAAGCGGTACACGAATACGCGCTTGCGCTGACCGTCGCGCCAAACCTACCGAATAGGGGGCGGGGGCGAGAGCTGAGTGTTTTAATGATTTCCGGAGCCGCGATGAGGGAAATGTATGTCGATGGTGGTACATGAGAATAACTTCATTATATCGAAGTGAGCTCCGTAGTCACCGGCGGCATGTGTTTAGAAATTTTCCAATGATAGTGCTTCATGGTGTAGTTTCACATTTGCTCATGTAGAAGTTGAGTTCCGAGCTGGTTACGCTTTGGTTTTAGGTGCGCAGCTCCCACGCATCCGGCTTACAGGCATCCATTCAAATCCATGGACGCCTAGACTTGTATTAAAAGATTGACGATAATATTAAGTTAAGAGCCCGTACGTAGATATAAGCGGCGCTGTAATGGAGAAGGGCGGCTAGGTGGCGGGCGGCTAGGACTCACTACAGACAACGAGGCCACGCGTGCATGCGCGCCGGTCCTAACATATAAAGGGATAGAGAAAGAAAGAAATAGAGGAAGGAAGAAGTTGTCAAGAGTACAAATCAAATAGGCAGCGATGAAGTACGGCAAAGGTAATGGAGCAGAGTCTATCTAGACAGAGGGGTATTACCGAAACGGACATGTGGCATAACGGCTATGTGGTAGAGCCTATGTACGAGCCTATGTACTCATGTGAGCCCTCCCCGCAACATCACGGAGACACCGGGGTTGCGAGTAGAGGATTTGATATAGGGCCAGCAATTAGATATCAGTATCTTTGAATCTGCTCCTCGCTAGTCAGACGTACGCTTATACGCTTATATTTTTCACCGGCTTCCAGTCCCATTTTATATATTTAATAGTCTTAGAAGTCTTTGCATATGGGAGTTTGGTCTAGTGGTATGATTCTCGCTTTGGGTGCGAGAGGCCGTGGGTTCGATTCCCACAACTCCCCTTTTGGCCTCTCTGAATCTGTCGACATTTTCGATATCTTGAGACATTTCCGGACGGGACCTTTCTAGACGGCTAAGCAGATAGAACATGATACCTGTGTATCCGCCGGGGGGAAGCTCTGCACTGGACTGCAGGCATGCATGTTCTAACTAATGCTCGAGACAACCTGCTCGACGCAACGGCAGGTGGTCAGGGCGAGTGCAGCGTGGCTGTGTGTGTACCTGTATCTGTATCTCTGTGTGTATGTGTTTACCTGTATCTGTGTGTGTGCATGTATTTGTGCTAAGCAGCGCAGTGAGTTAAGGATCCACGGAATAAGAAACAGTGGGCGAACAGAAAAGAACAGAGGGGTGTCAACCAGGCTAGTGTTGGCCTGCATCCAAGTATGGCGAAACCCTAACCCTAACAAATCCCAAAGTGCTAGTCACCGATGTCATCCTTGCTTGTTGCCAGCCTACTTTTCAAAAACGCATGAATGGATCACACACACACACACAGAGTAATCATCCAACTAGATTCCTAGTACCGCTCGGCCCTCCCCGCACACACACAGGTGCCATTGGACCCCCCCTTAATCAACCCACTCCGAACTCACCCGAGCCGCGGCCTGCTGGTCGTTGGCGGGGTTCCTACGGAGGGCAGAAGGGCCAGTCATGTCGGTCATGTCGGCAGGTGCGTCCTCGCTTTGGACCTCCTACGGCCGCCTCAGTGCTTTCGACGCCGTAGGCAGCTGTTACCTTGCTGGCCTTCGACACCACCTATTTCCCTCCCTCCGCCTCCCTCCACCCCCAACCCCATCCCCACCCTCCCCACCAGTCCGGGTCAAACAGCACCAGCCGGTTGGCCCCAATGAGGTTCAGTCCGCAGCCACCCGCCTTGGAGGACAGCAAGAAGGCGAATTGGCGCTCAGCGGGGTCGTTAAACACCTAAAGGGGGGAGGGGGGTGGGGGGAAGGGGGAGGGAAAGCATGTTTAAGTGTAGGTAAGATAAACGGGGGAGTAGGATGCAAAAGCGGGAGGTGGGCGGCGGCGCGGGCGGACGGCGCAAAAAAGGGGGAGGGGAGATGAACGAGCCGCTGCTCCTTCTCATGCCGAGTAGGGCGAAGGCAGCCGGGTACCCCGCGGCACCACAGAAGGCCACAGTACAGGCAAGACAGAAACACACACACACATGTATGTGCGTATGTATGTACATGCCTAGGTGTACGCATGTTGTACAATCCACACGCACATATCACAACACACAGTATTCACCCCGGGGGCCTTGTGGGCCTTCCTTTACACAACACACACCGTGGACCATACCTAGGCCCGTACATCATCATCCAACCAACACCACCCGCCGCGTGCCCGCCTTTAACCAGCAGCAGCCACAGCAGTAGCGACGACGCGAATGTCGGGATGGGGGCCGTCGTCCTCCAAGCCCCCACCCTTCCATCAGCCAGTTCTGATGGCCGCGTCAGCTCTTAGCTCCGAGGACCCTGGAACCCCCCTACCACACACACACATACACACACACCTGCGCCCTACCTTGACCAGTTTCTGGCGCTTGTTGATGGTGGTGGTTCCGTCCAGTCTTACGAAGGGGTAGCCCCTCTCCCGGCACAGCTGGGCGAACAGATCCAGAGAGGAGGTGTAGTTGGAGACCAGGACAATCCTGACGCGGATTAAAAACAAATAGGGAGGAGGAGGAAGGGAAAAATTAGGGAGGAGGAGGAAGGGGAAGGTCTGGGGGCACACTTGGAAAGAGTGTTACCTTCAAATATAACTGAGAACTGCGAGAAGTACTACTATAGCATACATAGATTGAGGAAAGGTAAAGCTATAGGTCTTAGGTGGCTACCCGGGATGGGGGGCAGAAAGGAAGGACGAGCCATCGCAAAACCCCTATCCGCCTCATATTTACCCTTCCCTTTGTCTCTCTCTCTATGTCCAGCGACATGAAAAACCCCAACCTCGCCAACCGGTCGTATGCTTGACTAAAACGCACGGTGTCAAGTGCACCCACATCTAATTCATTGCATATGGACCTCCTCCGCAAAACTTCTTGCCGTACGCGACCTTTTTTTCCACGACTCTATGACACATCATCACCACCACCACCACCACTAACAGCACTACACGGCTGCACGTACCTGTCATGGGTCTCGGTGTACAACACGTGCAGCATGCGCGCGAGCACCGCCATCTTGCCGGACAAGGTCTCCCAGCCAGCCGCCATGCCGCCGCGGCCCACTCGGCCGTTGTCAAACAGCCCCGGGGGAAACAGGGAGCCCACATCCTGCCAAAAGAGACACACATATACATACACATACATACACATACATACATACATTCGCAAGACAAGCATGCAAACAAGTACGGGCATAGGATCGAGCAGTACGGAGTTTCTTTCCAAACCAATCGGTTGCTTCCCATACATTCCTACCAACCGACTTGCCTAATGTAAAAACTGAAAAAGGCGAAAGAGCATACTAACACATCATCATCTCACATCATCATCACGCTAATGGATTCACAATTGAAGTTACTGTTCAGCGTCCGGACAGATAGGTAGACAGACAGACACGAGCAGGAACGCACGTGCCCCGGTGAAAAACGTCCTGAGGACGTGTCCTAGGGTTTCACACGGTCCGCATGCCCCCGGGGGCCCCCCTTAGGAGTGGGACCCCTTTCCTCTTTCCTCCACCCCGCGCCCTCACACGCCCTCCGAGGCCCCTCACCACCCTCGCTAGCTAGCCTAGTCAACCTGACTGCATTCCGCCTCCACACCTCGAAGCCATCGGCTCGACCGCCGCCCTCGCCGTCCTCCCAGCCGCCGCCGCCGCCGCCGCCGCCCCCGCCGCCAGCCGCGGCTGCTTTACTGTGCACAGCGTCGTAAATGAGTTTGGGGTGGTTGCACAGCTTCTTGAGGGAAGTGATGGCCGACAGCACACCGCTGGTTCGGCCGTTGAGCACGCGGCGGGCTGCCTTGCTCTGCAAGAAGTGATGGTAGAGCTGGCGCTGCAGCTCCGTCAGGCGGCAACACACCACCTCGATTACCTGTGTACACAAGAGGGTAAGAGGTTAAAGGGGCAAAGACGGCGAAGAAGGTGAAGAGGTAAAATTTTCAAGTATTTTTAATATTATATTCCTAGTAACCCACCACAAGAAAGTGCTCTACGTACAGTAGCCCTTCCAACCCGTCTGACCTGACCACCTCGCACCTCTATTCCCCTGCTTTCCCACTGTGTCACACCCTCCCCCACCCCATCCATCACCTTGGGCGGCAGGTGCTGACTGAGCAGTTTGTTGGTTCGTCGCAAAATGAAATTGTTCGTGAGCCCGCTGAGCTCCCTGCTGCGCTCCTCCCCCAGGACCACCTGTTCGGGAGCGGCGTCCGGCTCCCGCCCCGCCAAGATGGGCAGCTCGTAGTACTTGCGGAACTGGGATATGCACACACACACACAGTACACACAGTACAGGGCCAGGAGCGGAAACACAGCGAGACGTGAAGGAGAAGAACAAAAACCCACACAGAGCAAGGAGCAGCAGCAGCAGCAGCAAGGAAAGCACCCTCGTGCGCTTTCACGTGCGTGTTGTGCGTTGTTGTGTGTCTTGGAAGAAACGACAAGGGACATGGGACAAGGGAGAGAGAGCGATGGCCTACAACGTGGGAAATGAAGGAAGCGGAGGAAAGACAGCGATGATAATGTCTGAACCACCAAGTACATCACATCATATCTATACCGGTACATGCTGCAACAGGGTAAAGTTAGTTGTTTTTTTGAACTGGCTCCCGGTGGCCAGCCGGGATCACTTGGCAATACACGGCTGAGATACACGGGCCCCCTCTGCTGAGGTCACGGATGCCCTACCCACATCCACCACACACACACTCACCTGTGTTGGGGCCCCCAGCACCCCGGGGTTGCAAAAGTCCACCATCGCGAAAAACTCATCCAGATGGTTTTGCATGGGAGTGCCTGATCAGGCCACGTAGAGACGTACGTAGTTACGAGTTTCGCGCACACACACACACACACACGTGTGCGGGGGTGTCCATAAAAGCCGAGGGGGCCAGATGGACGGTAGGTCAGAACGCAGAGAGTGGATGAAAAAGGTAATAGAGGGGTTTTCCGATGCCATCGATCGGCGATCACGGTCACGGTGTTAGTTTGCGGGAGAGGGGAGATCCAAGCGGGCGCACAACCGATAGCACTAGCTCTTCTCTCCCTTACTACAGAAACCCCCCTTCCCTTCGGAGGGCACTAACGCACCCAGCCCCACATCCTCTTACCCGACAGCAGCACTCGGCGTTTGCACGGCAGGTTGTCCAGCGCCTACTTAAAAGGGGGGCCCCGCCGGGGGCTATTTCAGTGAGGTGATAAATCGTAGCATTGACAATGTGATAAAGCGGCCCAGAAGCCTCCCACTCTGTAACATTACATTACATTACATATCAGTGAGGTATATCTTAGGCTTGCTTCACATGCAATAAACAAGGGGATTGATGCTGACGCAATCGACTTTGGGGAGGGAGAGAGAGGAACGAAGGAGCAGCAGCAGCAGCAGCAGTAGCAGCAGTAGTAGTGATAACAGCTCTTGCTGCAAGCAGCAGCAAAAGTAACCCCAAGTTGCAGACGTGACCACACCTGCACGAGTGTACGGAGCCCAGGAAGCAGTTGCCGCAGCAGCAGCAGAAATCTTGTAGCTGCTGCTTATGGTTGTTGATTACCTAGATTACCTAGGATTTGGGGTTAGGTGGGGTTCCCAACACCCGAGGAGCCACTGATGAATGAGCCCGGACACTTCCTCACTCAGCCCCTTCAGCTAACCCAAAGCCAAGAGCCCAGCCACCGCTTACCCGATTCGTCAGTGTGGCGTCGTTCTTAAGTCGGTGCGCCTGAGGACACACAAGCAGCAGCAGCAGCAGTGACAGGTATTATAAGTACTAGCACCAGCATTAGCACCAGCATTAGCACCAGCATTGGAAATAGCGGCAAGAACGCCGCGGAGAGAATGAGGTGAAAAAAAAGGAAAAACCGCAAACGCACAGATCAAGCAATGGCAGCGAAAATAACCCAAAGTACGCAGCAACTAACTGTCACCGACCGCCTCGACGGTCATGTACACATAACTGGACAAAAGCACCACGGCAAGGCGCCGGCCGCTTTGCAGCGCCTACACTACCCCCCCTCCCCTCCCCTCTCAGCACATCACGCAACGTAGTCCTGAAGCGCTCTTCCCGCCCAGCTTCATCATGGCTTCCAGACCCTCTTTTCGACGAGCGAGGGTCCCCAAACCCTCCTTCCATCCAAACCCTCCTTCCATCCAAACCCTCCTTCCATCCAAACCCTCCTTCCATCCAAACCCTCCTTCCATCCAAACCCTCCTTCCATCCAAACCCTCCTTCCATCCAAACCCTCCTTCCATCCAAACCCTCCTTCCATCCAAACCCTCCTTCCATCCAAACCCTCCTTCCATCCAAACCCTCCTTCCATCCAAACCCTCCTTCCATCCAAACCCTCCTTCCATCCAAACCCTCCTTCCATCCAAACCCTCCTTCCATCCAAACCCTCCTTCCACCTCGGACGGTCCAGACGGACCTCACCTCATCGCACACCAGGAGGTCGCACGAGCCGGGCACCTGGAGCCTCTCGGCATGCATTCGGAAGGTCTCGTAGCTGATGATGAGGACCTGGCGGAGGGTGTGGGATAGGATGGGGCGTGTGGAGCAGTGGGTGGGCGCCCCCACATAAAGTCCGGTCCGGTCCGGTCCGGTTGCCAAGCCAGGAGAGATACCCGTAGCAGGATGGAGAGCGGGAGCAACCCGCATGGGTCCCTTGCTCCTGCCACCATTTCCCATACGTTGGTAAGGTACGCGTGTTCAAAGCCCGTCTGATTCTGCTCTGTTCCCGCTTTTTCTTAACCCCGCGCACCTATTAATATTAATCCCCACGCTCCCTTCCCACCCTTTTTCCCCACCTATATCAAAGCGCCCCAAAACTTCCGTCCCTCCTCCCTGTCTTCCCCACCTTGTACACGTTTGAAGGGTGCAAAAACATCCCAATGTTGGCCACCACATCCTCTCGGGTGCTTTCACACATCGCCAGAGTCTTCAGACGACCCTAGGGACGACACATTCCAGTGCGGAGGGGAGAGCAGGTAATGACGATTGGGTCAGTGAGAAGACGTGCTTGGTGAGAAGACGTGCTTGGGGAGAAGCCGATGTAAGGTGTAACGACCTAACAGTCGTTAGGTTGTTAGGTCGTTACACCTTACATAACGACCTTACCTAACGACCAGCCAACAGCGGATGGCGTCAATGATGTCCCTTGCCTTGCCTTGACCAGGCCATCTGCAAGATCGAACCCCGTTCCCCGCTTCTTTTCCCATACACACATTCCCATCCTCGCCCCTGCTTCCCTCCCCCTTCCCTTACGGTCTTCTTTGCTTGGCACTGAGGGCTTCCCTTCCTCGCTTATTCCCCCGCCCGCCTTCATCTCTTTAGCGCCCAGCTCTCGGAACAAGCCAAGAGCAGCCGTTCAGGTTTTTGCTTGATCTGGGCAGCGAAGAGTGGCCACCGTGTGTGCGTACATGTAACATCTTATTCCACAAACGCGCACGCTTCCACTCGTTTTTGACCTTGCTGGAATCTTTTCGGCTTCTTTCCTTAGGCAACTAACTTGACCTTTCTCCTCTTCCTCTTTCTTAACTCAGCGTCGGCTATTCACACGTGTCCCGTGTCTGTCGAAAAAAATGAACCGAGCCGCGCGAAGTGTACATGTGGCTAACGAATTGACACCTGTGTATCTGTGCTGTGACATTCTTTCCCTTTCTTTTTCTCTCCCCACCCGTCCAAACACACACGTACACACATATACATACACATACACACACACCTGCAGCCATTTGGTGCATTCATTATCCCAGTTGGAGACCAGGCTGGTGGGGCACACGATGATTGCTCTCCGGGCGATGGGGCAGCCCCCCAGCAGCGAGTGGCCAGATGTCAGCAAGGTCCACAAGAGGGTGATGCCCTGCAGCGTCTTGCCGAGACCCATGTCATCCGCCAGGATGCAGCCTGGGGAACGGGTTTTGGGGTTCCGAGGGAAGGGAGGTCAACTGAAGAAGGCGGTTGAGAGGGGTGTTCCGATAGGGGTGGAAGGGGTGTACCTATACCTACCCTGCTTGCCCTCCAGCCGCTGCCCGGTCACACAGTCGAACATGAACTGCACTCCCTCCCGCTGGTGTGGCCGCAGGAAGCGAACCAGCATAGGATCCACTACCACTGAATCATTGCCGCCATCACCACCGTCACCCCCTGCGCCGTCGGCGGCTGCGGCCTCCAGCCCGGGAGGCGCCTGCCACAGCACCAGCGGGTCGATACCCTCCGGCAGCACCGGCTCCTGGGGGGGTGTTCCGATGGTTGAGCCATATAGAGATAGATAGATAGATAGATAGATACATAGATAGATAGCATGGAGGGGGATAGGTGTATGGATATAGGGGTATGAATATGGGCGGCGACTGGTGCAGCACATATCTTTACTACATAAAATGTTGTGCGTGATGGTGGTTAGTGATGAGGGGGGTTAGGTAAAGTCGCCGTTTCGGAGACGTCCTTTCTCCATCTGCAAGTCGTACAACAGCAGAGTGTGCTGCTCCTTTCTCCATCTGCAAGTCGTACAACAGCAGAGTGGCCCGGATCCGTACACGCATCTCTAAACACACACATACACATACACACACACACGCCGTCACCGGCAGAGGTTCAGGTACAGAAGTCACGTCACTCAGACCCGGGCCACTCGGCCACTCAGCCGCCGCAGCGCCGCCAGTCGCACACGCTAGCAAGAGGACCCGGGGCTTAAAACCCTAGGTATGGGCCACACGCACACCGTACTGGGTTTCAGGGGGGATGGGCTCCGGAGGCTCACCGGTTCCGGCGGGGGCGGGGGGGGCGGCTCCGGGGGCGGCTCCGGAACCGTGGGTGTGGGTGGCGGCGTGGGTGGCTTGGCGCTCATGGTGGGTATGGGCAGCGGGGTGGAGCTGCCCCAGGGTACAAAGTGCCGCCTGGCGGCCAGCTTACGACGGAGAGCCTGACGATGATGCGGTGGTGAAACCCGCAGGCAGGGCGGCCGGTGGTGGAGAGGTGGCGGAGGGAACCGAAACCGGAGAGAAGGCTAGAGTCGTGAATCAGAAAAAAAGGTGCAACTGTCGGGAGGCCTGGTGCATCCGCGGCACACCAAAAGGCAGATAAGTAAAAAAGTTCTCCTTCCTACTCCCACTCCCTCTTTCATTAGCTCCAAGCCCCTTTCAGTCCGTTAGCGGCTTTTCTAGGGCCCCAACAAGCTCCAAACACGCAAGGGGTCCCCTCCACACCCTCCTTCATAGTCCCCGCAGTCCCGTGCCGGCCCCCGTCCCCTTCTTCCTCACCACCGCATAGGAAACACGCGTCGCGCACGCACACGCACACGGCGGCTAGTATCCAGCCACCCCCTCCCCCCCTCCCTCCCTTCCCCCCTCCCTCCCTCCCTCCCTCCCTCCCCCCCTCCCTCCCTCCCCCCCTCCCTCCCTCCCTCCCTCCCTCCCTCCCTCCCCCCCTCCCTCCCTCCCTCCCTCACATCGCTCATCCTCGGCGCCCCCTGCACTGGGCTCTGAAAGGGCTTCCGGAGCACCACCTGGCTCTCCATGACACTCAGGAACTTGGACATCAGCGGCTGACGACACGTCTGAAGACTGCGCGACAACAACGGGCCAGGAGGACGCGGAGGGAACGGGGGGGTTTGGGGAAAACGACAAGACGGCTGGTTCATATATGGTGCTCCTGGTGCCCGATGGCGATGGACAGCACTGGGTTTCAGGAGGGATGGTACCAAGTTACAAGTTCCGCACACGGGACGTTGTATTGGTATTGATGCGGGTACGCGGGAGGTCATCGGTACCGTTGGCGGTCCACTACAAGTCCACTACAAGAGCCACGGGGGATTTCTCTACTCACACTCGGCTCGGTCCCTAGTACCCCTCCTCCGGCTGCTGGCCCATTCCTCGCACGCAAAAACACACACGCAAACACATACGCGTGTGACCGTCACCCCTCATCACCGCCAACCCTTATTCCGACCTTCTACACCCGACGCAAACACAACGTCCAAGAACACTGGGTAGTGGTTCCCACCTGTTGTTGACCAGCGCCCGGATGTTTTCCTCTCGCCGCTTCTGCAGCTCCGCCTCTGTGGGTGTTTCGTCGTCATCCGCCTCGTCGCCGTCTTCCCGCAGGCGGCTCACGACGGGTCGAGTCGCCATCGGGAAGCTAGGGGCCAGGGAAGGCCTTAGGATTGGGGTGCGGAAGGCGGGGTTTCGGAGCGGGGGCCAGAAGGAGGTAGCAGCATCAGAATGGTAAGAGAGCGAGCCAGTGTGGCGGACAGTGCTGAACCCGAGAGCTCCAGTCGGAAAGACCGGCTCCAGGGGGGATCGCGAGCAGGGGTTCAGGCAAGGAGACCTGGTGTTTCTTAGTGGGGGGAAAGGGGGTTGCATACACCCTACCTGTGCAATTGTATCCCTTCCCGATATGTCCCTTCCCGTTGTTCCCCTTTTCCGCGGCCGTCGCGCTCCCGTGCGGACTGGGGGAAAGTCCTCAGCTGGCGAAGAGGATGTCGGGGGTGCTTTGTCAGGAGCCATACGAGCCCCTTTTGTCCCATCATGAACTACAAGGCTTAGTTGCGATAAGGGGATGATACAGATGATAGCTCGTTTTGACCGGGAGACCCTGACCTTCTGGCGCCGGGTCGAGGAAGTGCGGCCCCAGGCGGCCTAGGAGGCCGGCCGTGCAGGAGGCCTGGCTTCGCGGCAGGTCGGCCCTTGCTGGGAGCCTTTTCTTCTTCGTCTTCTTCTTCCTCCTTCTCATTTTCATTTCCGCTGTCGTCGTCTCCGCTGTCGCCTTCGGCATCCGTGTTGTCATAACTCTCATCATCATCGCTTGCAGCGTCTTCTGCGCTCTGTAACTCCGGTATGCGCGGCAGGCGAAGAGAGCATCAGCATTTTATCACATGATCCTATTCGACATTATAGGGACGCAGCAAACTTGCCAGGAGGCACTCCTCTTCCTGGTCGCTGTCGTCGCGCGCCATACAGCGCAAGTAAACCACCACAACTCACATACTACACGACAAATTAATCCTCTCCTATAAACTGTAATCTGCAAGGCAAATTCTTGTCGTGCTATGCAGCCAGCCTTGGATGAATGCCTTGACAGTTCCGTGCTGAGCGTGGTCTGACCGCGGACTCACGTCCGTCCTAAACAGTTTGGTTCAAAGTATTTGTCGAAGAAAAAACACGATTTTCCGCTTCTTTTTAAAGCTCGCTTGCTAGCACCGTGTTGGAGGCAGTCCTAGAAATGAATGCAGTAGCTGTACGTAGCTTTAGTGTTGCGCTAGTTTAGCCAGAGGCAGCGAGGAGATCTATCGAACATAGCACGAACGTGAAAATTCATTTTTGTGCGTAGCATTCTTCTTGAAGTAGTAACAACACCATGGGTTTCGGAGCTCTTCTCTTTCAGATATTTCAGAATGCATGTTGCGTGTACGAATAGCAGCTCTTCGCCGACTCATGCGTTGCGCAGCTAAACGACCTCAGCCATTGCTCGCTTCAGCACGCGTAGTCGTATAGTAAGCGAGGGTCTACCAGCAACGGTGAGACGGTTTAATTATGGCTCGCACGTGAGTTTAAAATAAAAAAATTCGGGACGTCCACAAGTGCGTGCCGCACACACAGCATCAGGCATGCGACCATCTCCCGAAGCCAACACCCTGCAGCACGCACACATATATACACGCACACGCCTGCATGAGCAATTGGCAGTGTATGGCAATCTGAAAAACAACATAAACAAGCATACATACATACATACATACATACATACATACATACATACATACATACATACATACATACATACATACATGCGTACATAAGCACAGCAAGGAGACGTGGCAAGTAAGCCATGCCATTCGCGGTACAGCACAACCACCCCCAGACCTCCTGCTTGGACGCGAAGTCTTGGACCCACCATCGGGCAGCTGAAGTTCGTAATCGTTTTAAGCCCCTGGACGACGCGAACGACATCGGAAATTCCAAACCCCAAATCGAAACGAGGCCATGTTCTGTAGCTGCAAGACATGCCCGACTTATCCCCATTTGCCGGCGTCGTCAACTTACCGTGGCCATCACTTTGGCATTGCGCTGTACCCTTGGGCCGACCCCGGCCTTTCCCCACCTAGCCTCTCAGCCTACACCCGCACCTAGCCGCCCACAAACCAGTGCAACCCCCCTTCCTTCCCTTCCATTTCGGCCCATCCTCCTTCCCATCTCACCCTCCACACATACACAAAAAAACAGCATTAAAAGCACCACCCTCGCACCCATCGCTCCCTACTGTCAATCCACCTTGCTTACATCATACGTCCCACCCTCTCACCCACCCTTCCAGGCCACCATGTCTCATTCCACATCCAACAATATTCCGCTACCTGACTTTTCCTCGGCCTTTCCGAAAACCCAAACGATAAACCTCCACAGCCCGTGTGCCGCAGCCTGTGTCAACGCACGTCCCTGTAGACCTGCAAATCTCCAGCTTCCCCCAACCGGGACGGCTGAGCTGAGCTGAGCGAGTCCCAAAGCGGGCCCGAAAACACAGATGCACATTACACAGCGACATGCTACCGCAGCTGGGGCAGTGGTGGCGGCATGGCGGCGGCCGCACCGCCACCACCCTCAAATGCCACGAGGTCCTCCGCGCTGAGCCTCCCTTCCAGCACAAGTCGTCCCACCTCAGGTACGAAGTGCGCGCCGTCGCTGGCGAGCAAGTCGCACAGCCAGCGGAGCCGGGCAAGGTACGACTCGCCGCCGGCGCCAGGCGTACCGAGCTGGCGTGCTAACTGCGCCTCAATGGCCAGCGCTGCCTGTACGGGCTGTACAGGCGTCGCGCCGCTCAGCGCGTGCGCCAGTACGGCAATGGCCTTGTCGCGCAGCGGCTCCCCCGTTGTCGCAAAGGCTGAGACGATGTGCTGGCTGTATGGCGGTGCCGAAGGCGCAGGCACCGCTGCGTCCGCCACCGCCACGTCGGCGGCGGCCGGCGGAGGCGGCGCCGAAGGCGCCGGCGCCGGCGCAGGAGGCGCCGACGCCGGAGGCGGCGCCTGTATGCCCAGATTGTTCATGGCGTCCCGCAGTGACTCCTGCGTCTGTCCCACCTTGGCCTCGTTCAATCGCTTGATGACGGCGACGATGCCCTTCATGTCCGCCGCCACCTGAGCCAGCGGCTGCAGCCCGCCCTCCCCCGTCAGCGCACCCCCCGCCACCGCCTTGGCGGCGGTCTTGCTGGCGCGCATCACCATGGCCGCTAGCCGGGAGTTCTTGTACGACTGAAAGTTGAAAGGATGGTCATACAGCGCCTGCGCGCAGCTATTAAGCTCCGAAACCGCCTCCGCCTCCTGGCTGCGGGCCTGCTCTAATTTGGTCAGGGCTGCGGAGATGCGATCTGAGATTCGGCCCTCAAAACTGCCGCCGCCGCTGACGCCACTGCCGTTGCCGCCAGCGGCAGCGGCCGCTGCCGCCGCAGGCGGCGGCAGCGCCGGCGCTTTGACCGCTTGCGTGCCAGCCCCTGTGAAACAGCGCACAGTGCACGGGGCTGGGGGTTAGAAAGCTCCATCACTCGTTCAAAGGCCACCTATCAGACGACCATCCGCTGTCAGGCCCCCAGCTGTGCTTCCCTCCGGATGTGTCTACTTTCCTTACCGGCAACAGACGCAGCCACGGCAGCAGGTATTGCAGGCGCTGCAGCAGTAGCAGCCGCAGCCGCAGTAACGGCGGTGGCAGCAGCAGCAGCCGCAGCCGGCTTCAGCGCCTGGCGCTTGCCAGCTCGTTGCCTACTGGCCCCCGGGGCTTCCTCCCCGTCGGGGTCACCACCGGCCGTGGCGGCGCCGGCGGCGGTGGCGGCAGCCGGCACAGGAGGCGCGGCAGCCGGGGCCGTCCCGGCTGTGGCGACGGCGCTTGGCAGCAGGGCTTCCGAGCGCTGACGCTTGTGTCGCTGACTGGACGGCGGGGACGCCACCGAGCCCTGCCGAATCCAGAACGACACCGGGAGATACGGCATAGAGTACGGCAAGAGGAACGGGGACAGTGAGGGCGAGGAAAAATTACCACGAATTACCAACATTGAACACACGCCCCATCGCCATGGGCAGACATATGTATAGAGGATGGCGCGCGACGGCGGTTCTCATATCATGGGCTTCTGACGAGTCCGTTTCGTGTCAGACGCCGTACAACACCTCGGCCTTTCAACAGGGTCGAGAATATCACGAAGGAGAAACGAGACACAACGGATGTGAGTGTACGACGCCACGTGGACTTGACACCCGCTGGGTCGAAAAGCCACGCAAAGAGGCAACGCAGTGCAACATCGCCCCAACTTCGTACGTGTCTGCATGTGGTCACAACTAGCGACCCATTGCGACGAAAGCGCACGACGTGATTGGCTTTTGGCTTGAGCGCGTCTCTCACCCATCCCCCCAGCACGGCATCCCACTAACACCCGCCAACAGCCCAACAGCAACCACCAGACAGATGACTCGACGGCCCTACCTGTGCATCCTCCATGATGATGTCATCAGCAGCCTTGGGCTCGCGCGCTAGCGCCGTGGGCGGCGGCTCCGCCGCCGCAGCAGCAGCTTCCGCTGGCGGCACCTTGGCGGTGGGATCCGCAACACTCTGCGGCGGTGGTGGTGGTGGTGGCGGCGACGGCAGCTGTGCCGCCTCCGCTGGCACGACGGCCGCCTCGGCCTCCTCCGCCTTCTCCTCCGCCGCAGCCGCCGAACCCCGCCGCTGCCCGCCGCGTGTGCCGCCGCGACCCGCGCCAAAGCGTCCCTTTGCGCGCGCCGACGCGGCTAGCTTGCCGGTAGCGGTGGCGGTGGCGGCTGCTGCCGTACCGTTCCGCGTCCTGGAGACATTACCCTCAGCGTCAGCCCCTGCCCCATCATCATCTCGTATCGGCTCCGGCTCCGGTGCGGCTGCCGCCACTGCTGCCGCCGCCGCCGGCGAGGCAACACTCGGCGCTGTCGCCGCTGCCGCCACCACCACCGTCGGCACGGCCTCATCCTCGTGCATCCCCGCGCCTTGCCCTGCATTGCCAGGTGATGTGGGTTGCACCGTCGGCGGCAACGGCGGCGCTGCTGAGCCAGTAACCCCCTTGCGCGTGCTGCGTCGTGTGGAAATGACAGGGGTGTCCTCCGTCGCATCTGCCGCCGGCGGCGGCGGCGGGGGCGACCCCGTTGCCTCGTCTCCTCCACCTTGGCTCCGCCTGACAGCAGCGCCCACGCCACGCGTGCTGTGTCGCGTGTGCCGGGCTGCGCTGGCGACACCACCGCCGCTGCTGCCCTCCGCACCCTCTGCTGCTGCCGCTGCTGCCTCCGCGCTGGCAGCGGCGGCGACGGGTTGCTGCTGCTTCCGGCCCCGAGCCGAGCTTCGGAGGCTACCTTGCTTTTCAAGTGGAGGGGGCCCGCGGCCGCTGGGGCCCGGGTCGTCACCACCGCCATCCCGTGTGGTAGCCGCGGAGGCGCCACCGCCGCTGCTACCGCGACGGCGATGCTGTTCATCCGGGGACGACTCCGCGACTTCTGGGTCCGCCGGCGGCCGGGAAGCTGCAGCGGCAGCTGCACGAGAGCGCGTGGTACGAGTTGTTGTCGGTAGGGCGTTTATGGCAGGAGGGGAGCCGTCGTGCTCTGGGTCAGAGAATCCCCTGCCGCTTTTTTTGCTGCCGCCGCTACCCCGGGCACGGGAGCCAATGCGGGCGAGGGTACGGCTCGTGGGTGATATTTCCTGGTCACGAGCATCGCCGTGTGGCTGGGATTCGGATGTGGCTTGTGTTTGCGTCTGCGGCTCCGTGTCGGGTCTGTGTGTGGTCGCGTCGGAGAGTTGCGCCGGGGCTGCTTGCGCATGTTCCGAGTCGGGCTGCCCGGCCTCATTTCCATTCCCGGCCGCTGCTGCTGCTGCCTGCTGCTTTATTGCTGTTGGGTCGCCGCCGTCGGCTGTCGCAGTGGAATTGTGACGTGCATCAATTCCTTCCTCCGGCCCCGTGTCCGGTGACGCTGCAACGCGAGCTTCTAGAGCTTCCTGTTGGTGTTCTGTGGCTACTAAGTCAGCGGAAGCTGCATGATCGACCTGCAACACTTGCACCGGGCAGCGATGGAAAAGACGTTGGCGGGCTGTCTTCCGTATAACATGGAATGGCAGGACTAACGGTACCAGCGATTAAGATTAAGTAAAACGAAAATCACCTTTTTGGTCATCGTCCAGGTTCGTCCAGATAGTCTACTTGGGAGGCGGTCCCTTACCGGGACGCCTCGCACATAATAAGTAAATCAATCTGAGATGTTTCTTTAGCACAAAACAGTTCGCATGGGTTCTCCAAACTGCATAATCACATTGTAACAGCAAAAACTGTGGAGGAACGGCTGGCAATAACTAAACCTCTTAAGAAGACACAGGACAAAGACAGTAAGCTGATATGAAGTACAAGACAAATACTTGTCTCACGCTGTATTCCTTACAAAGACGAGACGGTAAACGGGAAATGCCGTACGGGGACGGATAGTTAACTATTTCAGCGCGTTGGCCGTAAGGTTAAGGTGCAGTGGACAACCCATTCAACTGCCATGTCTGAAGCTGCCTGTCATATTATTCATTGCACCTCGTGACCTCATCGCTGGCCTAAACGTGGTTTATCGCTGATTCACTCTTACACACATTCGTGTAGTGCTGCCGGCAGAACGGCAGCCTGCTGTGCTTATTGATTAGCTGGTTGAAGTTGAAGTCAGGGGCTGAAAGAGTTACTGTCAATAGGGCTGAACGTGTGGAATGTGCGCCTCCAGGCGGCAGCTGTGGTCAGCATTCCGGCATGCTGCTCGCCAGTTCTCTGACACGTAGGTTCATATTTGTCGGTTAAGCTGAGTTGCTGCTGTTGGGTGCAGCTGTTATGTTGCGCGCTTTTCATCAACTGACTCGACTTCTTTAACAGGACGACGGTGGCAGCTGGGAACGGGCCATCGACATCATATGATCTGGTCACAGGTCATGGCGCTGCCCTCTTACGGTCCACGTTTTTAGCGCGTGCTTCAATCATCTCGAGCCTGCCAAGGCAACGGCAGATAACAAGGGCGTTGCGCCGTGACACTGAGGCCTTTGCTCGGCAGTGGCGTGACTTCAAAACGGTTGCTCTTGGGTCCGGGGTTGGTGTAACGCAAAGTGGACAGGTGCGCTCCATGGCCTCTTTGGCCTTGCGCGCCATGCGGCCGGACGCGCAATTTCTCACGTGCCATTTCTTTCCTTCCCTCCTGTCCCCCTTATCTCGGCCTGAAGTTGGTTTTATGTGTGTGTGTTTTGCAGCATGCCACGACGCCCGTCCGGTGACCCGATTTGCATGCGTATCATAGACCTTCCCTTGCGCTGTCCCCCTGCTGGCAAGCGACCCCTGTCGGCACGGCACAAAACCGGGCAAACTCCCCCTCTTCCACCCTCTAGTGATCTTGTGCATCTGCATTTCGCATGTAAGTCCTCTGCTCAAAATTGCAAATGCGCATCTGCACACCGTTCCTTTGAACCAACTTTAATCCAGCTTCTTTTTTTCAGAAAACGTCCTTTGGCGTCTTTTTTTGGAAAAAGAACAGCCCCTGCACCACATACCGAGTAGGTTTGCCGTGGTCTTGTGTCCTTAATCCCCAGACACCACGTCCCGGTGGCACAACATTTCCCATCGCCGCATCACTTCTCCCATCGGTAAATTGGAAACCCAGATCCCGTTCTATCGTACCTTCCCTTCCCGATCAATCAAGCGATCCAGTCGCCACCCCACCCACGCGCCGTCGCCTCCCCGTCCCCCTCCCCTTGCGTGTGTTTTTCCCCCTCCCCGACATCCGATCCCCGTTATCAGCATCACTCGTCTGTGGTTCGCCTCCCCCCACCTACCCCCCCACCCGACCGCGTTCCTGTCCTGCTCGTCAGCACTTGTTTCGGCAGTTGAGTTTTCCCTACATTCCCCCTCCCTCCCTTCCTGGTTCGTCTTCCCCATTCCTTCCTCCCCACCCCAACTACAGAGCCTTTTCACAGCCCTCCTTCCCCCGGCACTTCTCTGGCTGCTAATGGTCCTCCCGGCCAGCTACCGAGCCTACGCTTTTCGCCTCTGCGGCCTGTCTGACGTTAGCGCGCAATTACCAAACAACCACCAGCAGCAACAGAAATCGATATTGAACACGACCTCCTCCGGCGCGGACGGAGACGACGCCGCGGCGGCGCCTTTTCTTGGCGTCCTCCGCGCCTTATTGCGCCACCTTGGAGTCTCGGACCTCGCACATGCGGTTGTCGATGAGGTGCTGTTGGCGACCCGCGCCGCGTACTTGGTGTTGCTGTTCCTGCCTGCGCTGCTTACGGCGCCGCTGGTGTCGCTGATGGGCGGTGTGGGTCGTGAGCGGTGGCTCGGGCTGGTGCAGTGGACGTTGGAACATGCGGGTCCTGCGTTCATCAAGTGGGGCCAGTGGGCCTCCACTCGCCCGGATCTGTTCCCTGAGGTGCGCGGGGGGCGGGGGGGGGGGAGGGAGGGGAGGGAGGGGAGGGCAGGGGCAAGGAGGGGAGGGGAGGGGAAGGAGAGGGGAAAGGAGGGGAAGGGAAGGGAAAGGAGGGGAAGGGAACGGAGGCGAGTGGAACGGAGGGGAGGGGAGGGGTGGGGAAGGAGGGGAGGGAGTCATGAGTAAGAAGGGACTGGGTCATCTGCTGACGGAAGGTTAGGGTCAAAGTTAGGTGGGAGGGAGGGATGAGGGGACACGCATTATGGCGCAAGAATGCAGAGGGGGGACGGGGAATGGACGGTGGATAGATGGATGACTGGGTTAGGGGGTGAGGTTGAGGGCGACTGGTTGGGTGAGGATGAGGGTGCCGGACTGGGTGCATAGGGGGGGGGAGATGACAAGAGGGAGGGAAGGAGGGCGCCGGGCAAACGAGAGGCGACTCGGTGACTGGTAGTGGGCGTGAGTGAGCGTGAATGTGTAGGCAGCCATAGACGGGTTATCAAATGTGCGGGTGGTGGGCACACATGAGTTCAAATCCCAGTGGCCGCAACCCTTGCACAAGCCAGCCGGGGGGAACGGGGGGCGCGTATAATCGTGACGTGAGTTGACTTCGCACAACGCGATTAGGAGTCTATATGCGATGAATGTCGCTCAGCATACTTTTCCTTGATGGTTTCCAATAATTATACGGTATCGAATTCTGTCTAAAATTACTGCGCTCTTAACACATCCCAGGCATGTTTTCATGACCTTTTGTCGAAAGCTGAATGTAGCGTATCGTACGTGTCATAACTCGTATACGCATCCCCTCCATTGTTTTATCATTCGCGCCACGTCTTAGACCTTAGACATACTCCGTCTCTTTAAACTCTTCTTATTTTTATTCCTCTTTTTGATTCCCTACATTTCGTTTACAGGACTTGTGTGCGCATTTGGAGCGGTTGCAAACTTCGGCTCCCGCGCATTCCCCCGCGACGTCCATTGCCGCCGTCGAACGCGCTTTTAGGGCGCCGATTTCGGAGCTTTTTGACGCCTTCGACGCTCGACCCGTCGCGAGCGGCTCGATTGCGCAGATCCACGCCGCAACGTTGTCGGAGCGCGGCGCGGCGCTTGTCGGGGGCGGCGCCGAGGCGGGCGCCCGCGTCGCCATCAAAGTACGACACCCAGGGGTTTCGGAGCTGATGCATCGCGATTTTATTTTGATGCAGCGCGCGGCGGCAGCGTGTTCGCGCATCCCTGCGCTCCGTGAGCTTCGACTCGAGGAGTCAATTCGGCAGTTTGGTGGACCGTTGAAGGAGCAGTTGGATTTGTCAGTTGAGGCGGCGCACCTGCAGCGCTTCAACGCGAACTTTCGGTCCTGGGGCAATGTCAAGTTCCCGCTGCCCTTATTCCCTTTGGTAGGCGCCTCCAGACGTCTGGACTTACGAGCTTCCGATTTTGAATACGTTTTTTTTTCTTTTCGGGGACGCGTGGTGCGCTATGTCAGGGCTTTAGGTTCTTGGAACGGGGTATCGGATTTGTTGTTGTGGTGGTGGGTTTTATTAAGCTCTTGCTTCCACACATGCACGTGCACGCGCGCGCAGGTAACTCCCGACGTGCTGGTTGAGAGCTTCGAGGAGGGCGACCTCATCACGCGCTACGTGCGCAACCCCCACCGCCACAACGCCATGCTAGCCCAGACCGGCGTGGACGTGTTTCTGACCATGATGCTGCGGGACAACTTCATCCACGCGGATCTGCACCCGGGCAACATCATCGTCAAGGAGGCTGACCCGCCCTCGCCTCTGGCCGCCCGCGTGGCTCGCTGGCCCTGGCTGCCCGCCCGCATCCGCTCCTGGCTCCTGGACCGCTCTCCTCGCGTCGTGTTGTTGGACACTGGGATGATTGTCGAGCTGAGTGACTGCGACCAGTCGGCGCTGCTGGGTTTCTTCAGGGCGCTGACCCAGATGAACGGGAGGACGCTGGCGGCGGAGATCCTCAACATGTCGGTAGACGGGACGTGCAAGGTACGCGCGCATGTGTGAATGTGTGCATGTGTTTCTTCTTTGGGGCTAGTAATGATGCGCGCTGATGGCGCATGTATGTTCCCCGTGTACGTTCCCCCTCTTGCTTTAATTATAGCCCGGGGGGGAAAGGGTCATACACACACGTATATGGATGGGATAGAGGAGGTCTGCCTTACAGGGGTCTGCCTCAATGAAACAAGTGACGTGTTCCCGATAGTGTACTCTCTCGCGCCGTCCTTCCCTGACACCGCCCTTCCTCGCACCGCATGACGGCGTTTGTCAGGATCCCGCCGCCTTCGCCGCCGAGCTGGATTCCCTGTTTCGCAACATGGACCGGGAGCACCTCCGTCGTGAGTCGCAATCCGTCATTCGAGATCTCATAGAGCGGATGCGGCAGCACCAGGTGACGTTGCGGCCGTCCGTGTCCACGGTGGTGGTCACCAGCATGGTGCTGGAGGGTTGGAGCAGCAAACTGGATCCGGATGTCCGGATTCTGGATACCATGCGAGACATGCTGGCCACGGATTGGGGCGAGCGGATAGGCAGGACGGTCGATAGGATTGTGGGGTCGGGGCAGCTGCTGGACGTGTAACTGACAATGGATCGCGTGGATGGCAGCAGTGGGTGCAGATGATGAGAGGTGTTGTTTTTTGGGGGGGGGTTGGGGATGAGAGGGAGGGAAAGTGGGAGAGGGTTGGCAGTGGTGAAATGGCCGCTGGAGAGCGGAAGGCCGATGTAGGGGTGTGAGCTGGCAGGGGCGAACAACCCGCTTTAGTGCAGTTGTTTGTTGAGGTGGTCGTTTGTTGGTTGTAGGTCAGAGGAAGTGTCGTACGGTTTTGCTGTAGAGGTGTGAAATGGCGCGGTTTAGAGGCCTTCCGGAGTAGCGTGCGTCCTGGCTGAGAGGTGGGGGGTTCGATTCCTGTGAAGTTCATAAAGGTTTGTAAATGTATACGAGGTTTGCCGTGGGCAGGGGGAACGTTTTTACCTGCAGCTGCGGCTACGGCCGCGGCCTGTTGCGTGGTGGTGCATGTGCGGATAACCGCCGCACGGGGCGCTGTTCAAATGACCGTATACAGTGGTTGTGTTTGTGCTTGCACTTGTGTACTGTACGGCGGCAGTGAAGTAGGGTCCGGGGGCAGCTGGATCAGCCTCGTGAATTGCGTTGGTCATCAGTATCCGTGCAGGCAGAGACAGGCAGGCGGGAAATGATGTTAAGATGCATGGCTGTGTTTGTGTGTGTGTGTGTGTGTGTGTGTAAGGGAAAGCGTGGGGTTAAATGTTGGTGAAGGCTGCAGGAGGGAGCCAAAGGGGTGTAGGTGTTGGCGACACAAGGTGAAGGAGGGCCTGGGGGACCTTTCCGAGCTACATCCGGCTCCCTGTGTCGTCTTCCGCCGCTGCTACTCCTGCTATTGCTGATGCTGGTGGTGCTGATGCTGCTGATGCTCATGCGGGTCCTGCTGGCTACACAGTACGGTACTTTTGCCGGTCTTCATCGTCATCATCATCCAGATTTTGGCGCTCTTGGTCTCGGGAATGTTCGTTTCAACGTGACGGATTGCATGCGGCACCCCCGTGACTTGAGGCGACGCGTCGACGTCATCGTTGCCATCACTGTAGTCGTTTTTTGTCGCGTCACGTGTTTGGTTTCCCCGGGTGTAGTCCGCCCTAACTCAGCCCCTGCTCGCCCTTCTCCTCCCCCTGCTTCCCCGTGCACTCCCCTCTTGGCGCTCCAGCATGGTGTGGTTCCCGTCGTTCCAACTTCCTCGCCTGCCTGTTATCCCACGTTGTGCTCTCTCTGGGCATCTCTGGAGCAAAGCATTAGAAGCGCGCGTGAGTGTGAGTGTGTGTGTGTGTGAGAGAGAGAGAGACAGAGAGAGAGAGAGAGAAAGAGTGTCTGTATTTGTTGTCTTGTTTGGCAGGAGAGCCCAAGCTTGGGGTCGCTTGTTGCTTCAGATCTGCTCCTGTGCCAAGGAGGGCCCAAAGGGGCTACGGGATCAGGATTTTCGCTTCCTTAAATATTGGCCGCGTGGCCCTCACCTCACCTGACAGGACCTGACAGGACCTGACGCTGAAGGTTGTTATCTTCACACACGCACACACCCGAATTGCGAAGCCCATCCACCCCGCTCCCGGCCTGCGGGCCCAGCCACACGCACATGTGCTGAAGCGCGTGCTCGTGTGATACACACAGAACTCCGGAAAAGGAGGTTTTCGGTATTTGCGGATTTGGAGAACGGTGTACGGCATACAGTGTACGGCTTGGTCCTCACAGCTCGGTCTCGTTGGCGAAGGCTCACTCGCCCGCCATGCAGGTGGCCTTGTGCTTGTGTGTCGTATGCGCATGCGAGAGCTGGTAACTGCTGGTAACTGCTGATGGCGCTTGGCTAGCGCACTTTTATTGAGCTGTGCGGAGAGGTTGTAAACGTAGCTCTTGATGTGTATAAACTTGTGGCCAAGCGTGGCTCAGGCACTGTAAGGATAGCTGTGGGGAGGTGATGTCGTTTCTTTTAGGGTGGTGTCCTGCTTTGCTGACATACTTGTTTGTGCATGGTCCAGTTATGTGTTGGTTGAGTAGTTGAGTTTGTGACGGGTGGAGCTGAGTTTGCCACAGGTGGAGCATGTACAACTATTCTTTTGATGAAAGAGTAGGCAGACGCGGGCTGGCGGGTTGACTAAGTGGGTTAACCAGGTGGGTGAGTGGGTGGATGTGTGCGTGCGCATTGTTTTGTGTGGGTTTTGTTGGCGATGGCCTATGTTGCGGATGGCGGCGCCAGAGCAACAGGAGCACAGGCCAGGTTGGCTGGCATCAAGGCTGCTGGATGGCGCTGGCGGGGTTCCGGTGTTTTGCATCCACTTGCGCGGCGACAGTCCAGTTGCCCGGGTAGCGACTGAAGTACTGCTGTGACTCGTGATTGATTGTAGTTTCTGTGAGTAGAGAGATATGCCGGGGCTGGAAAAGCCGCGCTCTAGTGCCCTAGTGTGCCTTGACAGGCGGCCGCAGCGAATTGCTGCGCGTCTTTGTCATAAGAGGCGCCATCCTGAACGTGAGGCTCGAGGATTATGAGAAATTCAGGAAGGCATTAGGAGAGTGGCTAATTCAGCCTTGGAAATCGGGGGGAATTTCAGTGGATTCAGCTTGGGAAGGGTTTTGACGCGGTCCCCCTTTTTCTCTCTCTCTCCTGAATTGTTGCGAGCACGCCGTGACATTGATTTCGTGGCTGTCGCTGCTGCCGCTGCGGCAGCCGCTGCCGCCGCCCGCATCTTACGGCCCGTAGTATTGTTATTACCATATAGAATCTACATAAATTAAATACTGGCGCAATTGATCTGTGTACGGCTTTTGGACGGTTTGTTGGATTCCTTTTGAAATTCTTTGCGTGGGAAGGACAGGAGGGGGATGCGCCAGAAAATGCGAGCGGGGTGAAAGTGGCATGAAACATGCTCTGTTCCTGTATAAAAAGTCTGCTGTTCCTTTGTCATCCGCTATCATTCTGATCTCCTATTGACATGAGTTCAGGGAAGCTTTTGATCTTGGCCCGTTGTGTCATCTAAACTCAACTCTTAGCCCCGGTGTCCGCGGCTCACACCTCGGTGGTTGCGAAGCTGCGTACCTCCTCCTCCAAAAGAGGCCGTCCAGGAAGGGGGCTGCTTAAAAGCTGCGAATCGGGGAGGTGTGATGAGGTTTCGTTTAGCCCTTCTTCCCTTCTTTCCCGGTCGGATTCCTGCCTGCATGCACGGCACAGCGTTGCCGCAGGCGACACCCCACACACCACCGCTATAGCTTTCGGTGTCTGTTGTGTCTGCGACTGTAACAATTTCAGTGTAACAATTTCAGTTCTACTGTTGAGGGGGAGTTGCACACAAGGAACACAAACCGCCGTTCCGGACGCGAGCAGGGACGAGCAGGAACAACCGCTCCACCTGTGGTGGACAACCAAGCGCCGTAGCGGGCCAGAGAAGTGTGCATATAGTCCCATCAGCACCGTCAGAGACCCTAAGACGCAAAGAAACCACGGCATTTGAGGGACTTAGGGTTTGCTAGGTGACTGGCGCTTGCGTTTGTTGCACCAGTCATTCACCGGTCAAAGCCACCTGCGCTGTAACCTCACTTACAACCTAAGGTTGGGCGTCATTGTTATTGATTGCCTAAAAGGATGGAAGGCTGTAGGGAGGCAAAACACCTCATTATAAATTGTGGCCATGGGAACTTGCAACCTTCTAGCCTGATCCGAGCTCTGGCCACCGCGGCATGAGGCAGCATCTTCTGGGTGGCTGATTGACAGCCCGCGGGCTACCCTTCAAAACAGCCTTCGGTTACCGGCAGTGCAGCGGTTTCGGTTAGAGTTAGGCAGAGTGTCTTAATAAGGCTCATCCAACTCGTGTATTATTTGCGTGCTTGCTAGTAAATAGAGGTTAGGAGTGTTAAGGAGAGGGCTTTAGTCATTGTGCGGGAAACAATTCAATTGAAATAAATTACATAGTCATTATCATAATAGTCATGATTATCCTCTCGCGGGCAGGTTTCGCCGCAAGATGTAATTTGAAAATACATTTAAGTGGAGGCTTGGTTCGGTACCAAGACCTGCGAAAATAGCTACACTTCTACTTCTATTACATGGACCTCAGGGGCCCGAAGGAGAGCTGCCCAACCTCCTTTATCCCCTCGTCCTGGCATAAAATCTTAGACATGAGCGGACTGTCCGCAGCTCGAGCTAGCTTCTTCACGCGAAAGCAATATATAATTGCTGCCCACGAATGCGCAGGAGGGCGGGGACTACCTACCATGACCTCCGGGCTGCCTAACATGACCGACAAAGTCTTCATGTCAACGTACACAACACAACAGAACAACCGCAGGAATATCTCGCACCTTCGCACCACACGCACATACCATCACCCGTAGCACAAACCATACATTTATTGAGGGAGCACCACCAACCAACAGGTAACCAACAGACAATAAAGCGCACCATGCAATTCAGAAGTAATGCATTTCTCCGTCGTCACTGGTCTTCTCCAAACTACTCAAGGCACCCCACACAGCATATACTCGAGCAATATTCATCGTGCGGCTGCTCCCCCGTCAGGTCTGAAAGCCGCCGCGTAGCACCCACCATCACTCGGGAGGTAATACATTGCCTCATACCATAATTGTATGTATTGTTAGCTCGTACAGAGCACATACTTAAATCCAAAAATAACCATAACATGCATTATTTTCTCCCAGCGCATCGCATGTAGCACACAGCCACTCCGAAAAAGATGAGCCCTCAGTAATAAACCGCCCTAGGGGGGCAGAACGACAAAGAGCGCGAGGCCTCACCATCCGGCGCCTCCGCCTTCGAGCAACCAGAGCACCTGAAGTATAGCAATGCGCGGGCCGGTCCGCTGCCACTAATTCGTAGCCCAATTTTATCCGTTTATTCTTTTCACCAACGCATTAGATTACTATTCAGCCCTCGCAAAATCGAGCGCAAAACTTGATCCACCGGGGTCGCAGATACAAAGTTGCATCAAAATCGGAAGATCCAAACTCGTTCTCATTTTTTGCAAAGGGTTAGAGCAGCAGGCGTGGTCTTTGAACTGCCAAGGGGGAGGCGCGCGTGTGATTCTCTCCCGGAGAAACCTAGCAGCAGCAGCAGCAGCAGCAGCAGCCGCGCGGATGGAGCGCGAGCCAACTGCTGCGGTATCCGTCTCTTGGTAGGAGGATTCGCCCCTTCCACCGCAGCGCGCACCCGCACTCGCGTCACTCCCCATCGTACTTCGCCAATTTGCCGAGCAGAGCTAAAACCAAAGCAGACAAAAAAAGAAAGTACACGTCAGGTGCAGCACGATACAAAAGCACCACCCTACACGATACCCATCATGATGATCGAAGCCATCACCATTGCGCACATTTCAGCTGTGAGGCCGTGCGGCTACACCTGACAGACAGAGCGACCCCACATGGAAATTCCAAAAGCCACTAGAGGAGTTCAGGTTGAAACCCCACGCCGGATCCACTCGTAAAGCCAGTACGAGCCACTTAAAGAGGGAACGAAGAGGTTTATTTCTTAGACAGGCGAATTGGCAAATGCGCATGTGGCGGCGACGAGGATAATCGTACGCCTCTCGCATGCCGAAGCAGCTGTTCCCGCCGAAAGGCAAAAATCTGCGAATACACCGCAGAGTGCCGAGTGGTGCAACTACAGCGCAGCTCTGTGTAGCCGCAACCAAGGAACTGCACGCGACATACAACATGCCCTCTTTGCCAATTGCACCCCGGCACAACCGTCTGTTCGTCCTCCTCCTTCTCCCCATCCTTCAGCCCCGCCACAAGATGACAAAAATGATAATGAGGTCTTTGCGGAAGCTAGGGCGTATCGATTGGGCGCTGGGCACCCTAGACCGTGATTAGAAAACCTACTGAACACCTCCCATATCGCTCGAAAGAGCGTTATGCTAGCAGTGGGGAGGAACGCAAATAGGCGCACTGCTTTATGTGCCGCTTTTCAAGGCACAGCAGTACCAACGTCAGTACTAGCGGTTCCATCTCCACACCAGCCATGGAACAGGAGGGCGCGCACAGGACGCGCACATTCAGAAAGCCCGCCGCGGTAAGGTTCGTCATCTTGATCACACACGCAAGACAGCTTTGGGAAGCTGGGTGAAAACAATCTACAAAAAGCGTGCACCGCGTCCCATATAGCGCGAGACCCCCCTGCAACTCTGCATCCTCAACAGCCGAACCGCTGACTGCGAGACCTCCTGAAAGCGTTATTAGACTTTCTTTTCTCCAAAAGCAGTGAAACGGATTTTAGTATAGCACTAGATCAAGCACCAGAGAGGAAACATGGGCCGGAATTTTGGAGCGGCGGGAGTCGCACGGACCAAATTTTCGCGGCCCTAGCGACTCCCCAAACACTCAACTCGCTCACTCAACTTCAATCATGCCTATGCACAAGCCAACTTCGCGTTCCTGACCTATATATTTCCGTGCCTAGGCCAAGTAGCAAACCGGAATGGATACCGGTGTGCCGTTCCCGCAACCAGATCCCGAGCAACCTGACCAACAGGATGTTTACGCATACCATGCAGAAAACAGTGCATGTCACAGACACATTCAACCACCAGTAAATTTTCTTTCAAAAAGAACAAATGCGAATTCCGTTTGTTCTTGGCTTGTTGAGCGAAATCGGAAAATCTAATTAAACAAACGATCCGACGACGAGGTTCAACGACCAACACCATCAAGTTTAGCGGCATTACTGTCCCACCGGCTTTGAAGCCTTCCCGCCTCGAGCCTGCTGGTGCCACGGGTCATAAGCATAAGGGACGCTCTCCCCAAAATACCAAAGCAATATAGTAAACGAGCCTTTCCAGCGTGGCATCTGTCCACACTCGACCGGCATCATACCTGAACCATGTACGGCGCTGATGGCATCGCCATCGGTGGCACCATCCCCGACTGCGGAATGCTCATGCCATGCATCGCCAACTGAGCGAAGACGCTCGAGGTGCTAGCCGCTGCCGCTGCTGCGGCGGCTGCCATTGCAGCGGCAGCAGACTGAGCGGGGGATGACACCAGGGGCGCGGCCGGGGGCGGTGGAGCCGGTGAGGAGGGCACAGGGGACGGTGCGGCCGAAGCGGCGGAGGGAGCTTTGACTACCGCAGCCGCTGCTGCCGCGGCTGCGGCTGCTGCCGCCGCTGCGGTGGAGCCAGCAGCGCCATTCGGCAATATGCCCGTGGTGGGATTCGCGTTGGGCGCAGATGCGGGTAATGTGGGACTCGTTATGTCATGGATGGACGCCCGTCGCTTGTCCTTCTTATTTAGACTGTTCAGGCGAATGAAATACTTTTGTGCATGACTTGCGACCTACATGGGAACCAGGCAGGGGAATGTGGGGCTAAGTCGCAAGCACATGACGGAGCTCATCGGCAGAAGGGCGCACGCCGATTGTCAGGACAAACTTCTGCACATTTACATATCCTGTCGATCGCCTTTGAAGGTCAAGGTGCGGGACAAGGCGACCAGCTGGGTTTGCAGATATAAGCATGGAAAAAGGGCTCACTTGTGTCGGGGTGCGTGATACCACGAAATTTCGGGCGATGCTGCGCCAGTCGCCCTTCCCAAACTTTGCAAGGCCCAGCAGGAACAAGCGATGTTCCTCTTCCGTCCATGGAACGCCTTTCCGACGATCTCCATTTGCGGGCACGTCCGCCTTCGGCTTCTTTGCGGGCTGCACGTGCAAGCAACGGAATCGCAAGGCTCAAGGACCGTCACCCTGAAAGAACTAGAAATAATAACATCGCAAACTTGCGCATACTGACATTTTCGTCAATGCGTGGAGCCGGTGATGGCGCACTCTGGGCAGAAGCACTGTCATGGTCTTCCTCAATTCGCCTCAGATCGTCCTGGAGAAAGATTGACGTGACAGAAAGATCAGTAATACGGAAATACAGATGAATTAATAGACATAAGGAAGCCTGCAGCGGCGTGCGTGCGAACAGCAACAGTATATAAGTATTTTTGGCCGCACCTCCAGCTCCCTAAAGCGCTTCTGTACATCACTGGCTGTCTTGTTAGGGAGGTACGCAGCGATTCGCTCGTATCTGGCCAATGAAAGATGAAAGGAAGGTCAGCGGCTGACGCGGCGCAAGCTTTCGCTGGCGTCGCCTGCTCGCGTACCTGTCTACGTCTAGAAAATGCTTCGCAAGGGCCACCTCGAACACCTTGTTCTCCTCCAGCCTATGTAATAAGATAGTCGATGAGAACGTGCTTCAGACTTGCAGTAACGCTCTCTTCACTTCAAGCACACGTTGCTTACCGCCAGAAGGTAGCGACACCCCGGGGCTGGACGTAGTCAACTGAAATTGAGAAACTAGCAGTCATTGCAGGGGTCTGAAGTATTGCACTCCAAAACCTAAGCTTGCGCCCTAGGGCAATCGACTAGCAAGACGAAAGTTGCTGAATGATACACATGGGTGCTAACAATTTTCCACAATAGAGTGGCCAATCAATAAATTCCCAACAAATTTCCGTAAACGCCTGAACACCGTAGGCTGGTATAGGGCCCCACTGGACTCCGCAGTACACTCGCCAGAAGCCGCTCGATTGAATACGGGTAGTTTTTACTTAAAAAAGACATGTAATTGGTGCCGTGAATGACTCATTACTGGCAATTGTGGGTCTCATCATTCTTGTGACGTCGTAGTGCACGTCAACACCACTCGAACGCAAATTCTCTTGCAGGAATATCCCCAGATTTGTCGACTTCCCCCAAAAATAGTTGAATGTATCTGTGACAATTTTGACGAGCAGTGGATTTGACAAGCGTCTTCTTGATGCTTTTGGAATGTATGTCGAATATTACATGTTTCCTCCATGACCACGCCAACTTGCAAACGGGTTTAAGAAATTTTATAAAGCATCTTGTTTGAACCTTCGTCCTTATATGCCAAAGGGTTCATACCTTGGCTTCCTAAGACGGGGCTATGTTTTGCACGAGATGCGTCCACTTAAATATCTTATCCTACAGATTTATACACTCGAGCGCTTGTATCTGAGGACTTTAGCCGTGCTTGGGACTTTCTAACAGAGATGTACTGATCATGTGGTCACGTGAGGACAACTGCCACGCACTTCGCGAGCCGAGCAATAGCCGCATGGCTCTAAATTATCGGTCAGTCACTTCACTTCCACATGCATGTACCAACAATACGATTGCGCGTAGCTCAGGTGTAGCATGCACCCGACAACTAGCCTGTGAACAGGTAATGCGAGGTCTCAAAAGGGGGGATACCAACGATAATTTTGACCTAGTACCTAGTACAGTGTGTCAAACACTGTCTCAGGCACCAACTTGCAATGTTGGCGAAAGAAGCATAAAGCCGCGGGGGACCGCCACGTCCCTTGTCCGCTCCACGCCCGGTCCCCTGTTGCCGCACCGATCGTGAAGCATCCTCATCCCATCATCCGCCCAAAGCGAAGGCTCCTAACACACATAGACCAATATCAACTGATTCACTGCTTCCCCGGCTGCCGTCGAAACGCACTGCAACTTATCAACTTCATACGGGAACACTGAGGCGCAGATTAGTAACAACGTCGAACCCAACGAATAACCCCTAGCACCCTTCCATCAGCCTTGCAAGGTAAACTCGTCAGGTCAGGGGGCCAGCAGCACACAACTCATCAGGAAATCAGCGTCACAGCCCTTCGCCCTTTGTCCATCTACAGCTCCGGAGCGAATCGGGCATTTGGTCCACACAGCTTCACAGAGGCCGTCGCATCATCGGCCCTCATGCAGAGTTCGAGCATGCATAGTGCGGCATACGTAAATCCGAACATGACACGTATGCCGCTCAAGATCTGGGGGTGCCTGAAGTGGCTCCGACGTCTAACTGGTTGCAAGTGTAATACACCCCAACCCCCTGTCAGCATGTCAGTGTTTTGGGGCCCCCACGAACCCCGTTTCACTTTTTCTTTTACTTTTCAGCGGCCCCCTTTTGCTCGCGGTCGGCAAGGCAAACGAAGGCATTTGAAGATAGCTACAGGCACGGATTCTGTAGCACATGCGCAATCACAAACAGCAACGGGCAGTCGCCTGTCTTGCTGGAGCTCCAACAATAGCATAAGCAAGAGTGAAGACGTTGCCGCTTGAATACGTTCAGGGTGAAGGCAGTGGGGCTTGCGATATCCGGTGAAAAGTTTGGGTCGGGTAAATGCGCATGAGTTAAGAAAAGTGAGAGACGCTCGGGCCCTCATAGAATGTGGGCCCGAGCATAATTACAAAATAAAAAAGGTAGCTTCAACACGCTTTTACAACGTCGTAAGATTTTCACAAGGAACGGAATAAAATTACCGTTAACGCCGTTGAAATGAGTATGTCATCTCGCTTCGTCATCGAAATGGCTAACGAAGCGAACTTACGGCGATTAGGTATATTATCTCCTTTCCGGCATTGATGTGACTAAGAAATACAACCGATATAAATACAGGCATAAAAAAAAGCGAAGGAAGACGATAAAATAGACGCGACACTAAAATGCCGTGATGACAATTGTCGCGTCACATGTCTGTAGCTTCGACAAAGCACGTGCGTACGGGAGACTCCTCCCAAAGCCGAGATGGAGAATGCTAGTGGTTTGCTCTCTGTGTGCACACGTAAAAACTACGGCTGTAACCAATGAAAACATGTTTACATTTAGATATCATGTTTACAGGGCCGTCTGATTCTATTATTATCAAGCCGATTACTGCTGGTCGAGAGCGCCATTTGAATGCCGCACTGGTGCGGAAGTCCATACCTGCGTATGGGCGCAGTGTTTTTTTGTCATTTTTCCCCGTCCTAATTTCCAGTCCGAACGGAGGAATAGGTTTTTAGTCCCGGGAATAAAAGTATTCCGAATCTGTAAGGCGCTGGGGGATGCCGCGCCCCCCCCCCCAGAACCCCCCGATGAGATGCAGTTTAGTTCGTACAAACGCCAAGTTCGGGGAATGTCGCAACACGCGCACACTGCAATCTCTCCAGAGAGAGGTATCTCTTGCACGCCAGGAAGCGGCGCGCACTTAGTTAGACGCTTTGACAGGAACCCCGATTGCACGGGCGACTGCTGTTGCAGAGCCCAAGCAAACACAGACCACTTAACCCCTACTCAAGCACTGAAGTTCGTTCACCGTCGTTGAGCTTCTGCACTGCCAGTTCCCCCTCCTGAAGCTGAGCTGCGTTGACGACCTGCTTGTCCCGGTGGAGGTATCGTGCAGAGGGTTGCAAAAACGGTCTAATCCCCCAATCCCGGGGGGTGGTAGTGGTCAGCCATCCCCCCATCCTGGCTGGGGTGACCGACTCCCATCTCCCATCTTAGGGGCCCGGTGCTAATCCCATCCTTTGAGACAGGTTTCCCATCCTGCCAGCCTGGGTCCCATCCCCAATCCTATGGCCAGGGTTTCCAATCCCATCCTGCAGCTGTGTTCCCCCAATCCTCATCCTGCCAGCCAGGGTCCCTTCCCAATCCCTTCGACCAGGGCCATCCCCATCCTGCAGCTGTGTTCAGATCCGAAAGCTGTCAGCCAGGGTCCCATCCCCATCCCTTGCCAGCTACAAACCTACTCCTTACGTTTACACAGGTGCTGTAATATCGGCTTTCTCTTTAGGCGTAAATCAGGGGAATGACCAGGGTTATTTTCTATTTCCGCGAGATATTTTTCTCTTGCTCTATGGCTTATTTCCTCTAGCGTCAAATTCCGCCCGGCTGTGTTCGTTCGAAGCAGACTGAAGCGACAAACGCTCGTTGAAGCGGATCTCGACTGAGGAAGAACTCGCATCACAGAGGTCTACGTATCTAATTGCACACTGGCTGCTATTGCAAATCGCGCGTCCTAAGGGGGGAAGGACTGTTATGTTCGAAGGACGGCCACAGCAACAAATTATAATGCTGTGGTTAGAATGGCAGAACGTACAAGGGTGTTCTGTCAAAATGTCCATGGCTGGGAACGTGCACCATTGGTTCAGGTTCATAGCGCAGGAGTTCAGCTGCACATTCCGGCGCCAACATTCCACGTTGGGGGCGCCAAAGCGCTACGATAAACAACCTGATAACATTACATCAAGCCAGACAGTCCAATTGGAATGCTTTTGAGTCGACTTGGACTTCTGCGCAAGAATTGCTCCTATGCACTATAATGTGCAGAGTTACGTGGAGGTGTGCCACAACAAAACAATAAAGACTGCAAACTTTCTCAGAGTTGTGCATACTGGCTTGGGAATGCGGTGCGGCATGATGCGGCCAGCATCTTCGCGCCTTGCAACTTCAGCTCAGTTTGCATGAATATAACCAATAAAACATCACAGTACTAGAGAAGCAGTCTATATGAGGAAGTAACATGAAAGCTTAACAACTAACTCCAGGGTGGGCCTCACTTTGAGCCAGGACCCCCAAAGCGGCTTGCTGTTGATAACGTTTTGTTGGCTTAGATGCGACGGAGCGAAGCGACCGGATCGTCTAAGGCTGGTTCTGTGGTGCTGTCGTACAACTGGGTCGCAGTGGCGACTTCATTCTTGCTGCTCTCCTGGTGAAGTCATTATGCCTTCACGCAGAAGAGCATACAGCCTTGTCCAACTAGTCAGCGTGACAGGCTGTACTTGGACCCCCAAACCGGCTTGCTGTTGATAACGTCTTGCATGTTGATACGCCTCCTGCGGACTTGTCCCCCAGTAGGGTCTGCAGATTGCATACAGATTACGTTCGGGTCTTATTCAAAGTGTCCCAAACTTCGTCTTGGAAGACGCCCACCTTCTTAAGCGCAAGCTATTAACAGCCCGACGACCGTTTGTTATCTCTTCCAGAATGGCATCCGATGGTGCCCTGGGTGTGGATGTGCATGGGCCGGACAAGGTAAGAACGGGGTTGGACTGCGTCTGACTGAAGAACTGGCACCAATGGTGCACGTTTCTCACATTTACACCAAGTCGCGTTCCATGCCTGTTCTATTCCCAATGGTGTTAACCTTCTGCAGAAGCGTCAAAAGCTGGCAAAATTCACTGTGTTTGAGTTTGGCTTCGCCATGGGACATGGCCGAAGTCATCGTGTTTGAGTTGGGTTTGACCATCGGGCATCGGCCGACTTATAAGCAGAACTTCCTTGTGTTTGAGTTTGGTTAGCTATGGGACGCGACTTGCAAGCAGGACTTCCTTGTGTTTGAGTTTGGTTAGCTATGGGACGCGACTTGCAAGCAGAACTTCCTTGTGTTTGAGTTTGGTTAGCTATGGGACGCGACTTGCAAGCAGAACTTCCTTGTGTTTGAGTTTGGTTTGCTATGGGACGCGACTTGCAAGCAGAACTTCCTTGTGTTTGAGTTTGGTTAGCTATGGGACGCGACTTGCAAGCAGAACTTCCTTGTGTTTGAGTTTGGTTAGCTATGGGACGCGACTTATAAGCAGAACTTCCTTGTGTTTGAGTTTGGTTAGCTATGGGACGCGACTTGCAAGCAGGACTTCCTTGTGTTTGAGTTTGGTTAGCTATGGGACGCGACTTGCAAGCAGAACTTCCTTGTGTTTGAGTTTGGTTTGCTATGGGACGCGACTTAGAAGCAGAACTTCCTTGTGTTTGAGTTTGGTTAGCAATGGGACGCGACTTGCAAGCAGGACTTCCTTGTGTTTGAGGTTGGTTAGCTATGGGACGCGACTTGCAAGCAGAACTTCCTTGTGTTTGAGTTTGGTTTGCTATGGGACGCGACTTGCAAGCAGAACTTCCTTGTGTTTGAGTTTGGTTTGCTATGGGACGCGACTTATAAGCAGAACTTCCTTGTGTTTGAGTTTGGTTTGCTATGGGACGCGACTTGCAAGCAGGACTTCCTTGTGTTTGAGTTTGGTTTGCTATGGGACGCGACTTGCAAGCAGAACTTCCTTGTGTTTGAGTTTGGTTTGCTATGGGACGCAACTTGCAAGCAGAACTTCCTTGTGTTTGAGTTTGTTTTGCTATGGGACGCGACTTATAAGCAGAACTTCCTTGTGTTTGAGTTTGGTTTGCTATGGGACGCGACTTGCAAGCAGGACTTCCTTGTGTTTGAGTTTGGTTTGCTATGGGACGCGACTTTCAAGCAGAACTTCCTTGTGTTTGAGTTTGGTTTGCTATGGGACGCAACTTTCAAGCAGAACTTCCTTGTGTTTGAGTTTGGTTTGCTATGGGACGCGACTTGCAAGCAGGACTTCCTTGTGTTTGTTTGAGTTTCCATGTAAGCAACTATGGACAACTAAACCATCCATCCTTGGCCTGTTTTGCAGTCCTGTCAGTATTCCAAGTTCTGCACCTGCAGCCTCATTTTACAGCAGAACACCCAATTCTAATCCTCCAACTGTGTTCCCAATCCTATGGCAGCGACCTCATCCTAAACTTGCGAAAGCCTGCAATCCCCGTCCTGTCGACCAGGGTCCCATCCCCATCCCTGGCCAGGGCTCCCAATCCCCTCCTTGGTCAAGGTTGCAATCCCCATCCCTCAGACAGGGATCCCATCCCCATCCTCACCCCCGACAGCAATCCCCATCCCAAAAGTAGTGTAGCACGCCTAATCCCTAATCCTCGCCCTGGGCCCCACATCCCATCCTGACGTCGTCAACCCTATTCCCCATCCCGCCTGACCAGTACCTGCCCCCAATCCCCCATCTCTGCAACCCTCTGTATCGTGCGACGCAAGGGTCTCCCTCCGCCCGTGTTTCCTGGCGCACCGCGAGTCTCCATATGACGAACGTTGATGTTTGGCCCGGTCGCTGTTGACAACCGGAGTGGCGTCATTGTCTTCGGCTGGCTGCAGCATTGCGTCCACATTGCCTACAACCGCTACACCGTCTTCGTTAACATCGCTTATGGCTTCAGTGAAGTTTAATATCTGCTTTAATGCCACGCTTTGGGAGCTTCGGGTTCGAATATTTTGCAGCGTTTGGTCCGGTCAGAAACAGTCCGATTCCTTGTTGACTTGCGGGCGTGACCTTCCTAACAGTATCCATGGCATTTAAGTACTATGATATGGTTAACATGTATGTCTCCTGCAAGATTCCAGCGGCTGTGGCATGGACAGTCCATTTTTGGCTGGAGGAATGAACTTGTACGCTCGGAAAATTATATATTCTTAATTTTCAGGACCACAAAATTTTTTAATTCCAAATTTGGAATATTTTCCGCAAAAAAAACGCTGTATGGGCGAGGGATTTATCTGAGTAAAACTGGGGACTGGTTCGTCTGGTCAACCGATTTCTGGGTAATTCCTGTTTGGATTACAGTCGCCTGAAGATCACGCCGCCCAGTAGAACTAGGGGCTTATCGGTCTTAGAGACCCAAATTGGATTCCGCTGCGACTACTTCTCCAGTCCATTTGCCTCAATCGGAATCTTTATTCGATACCTCCATTGCGTGGACTGAAGTGGTACGACACACACCCGCCTTTGCCAGCTCGTAGCCAATGACTCGTTGGAACTTAGCACCTGCGTTTTTTCTTAGTCCGTACGGCATGCGGGTCACCTAACATCATCAGCTTTATTGCCAGCCCAATATGCGGTTCGGGGCTGGTCCTCAAGCAAGCGGAAATCTGGAAGAAGCCTTGCCGCAAGTCTTGGCTTTTGGTTGATACACCAACATGCATGTGCACATTGGTAGATATGGCTGACAGCTCAGTGCCGACCGTACAATCACTCCTTGTGTGATTGTTCACACTGACAGGACGGTCATCCTGCGCCATGTGGTGGTGGTGGTGGTGGTGGTGGTGGTGGTGGTGGTGGTCAGTCCGGACGCCTGTGTCTGGATCTTCCTTTGCACCCATCTCCACCAGGTCCACAGCACAGACAGTATCACCCTTGTGTTCGACTACTACAATGCCCGCCGCCTTCATGAGCTCTGTCATGTCACCTCCTTTCCCCTCGGGGAGTAGCAGCGAGTCTGCGAGGGGCTGCACTATGGGCCCATATCTGTATCGGCATTAAGTCGTGTCCAGTCGTGGAGGCGACCCTGATCCCTCTCTGTCCAGGTGGGAGACAACTTGAGTAGGATAAACAAAGGACATCCCCTTCTGCACCTTCATGAACCTACCCCATGCCACTACCGCAGAACTGCCTTCTCAGGACTAAACAGCGCGGGCTGTTGCCCCAGATCCACCCACCCGCCTTCAGGTCCCTCTGGCAGCGCGGTAGTAATTGTACCCTAGCTGCTGCGGAAGCGCCCTCGGGCGCCAACACGGACACACCACGAGGAAGCCCCGATGGGATGAAGTGAAGTGAATGCCACTGGGAGATGTTATACCACGACTTTGAAAAAGAAGATTACCTACTGGTCGGCGGAAGTCAGGTCCCGTGAATACGATGGGATACGACACAGGACCATCGGGCACGCAAGGGTCAAGAGACCCTCACAGGCAAACAAGCGCCTGCGAGAGGGGACCATGTGCTGTTGGTTGATGCATTACCTACCTGCCTTGCACTGCATAACGGCGCCTCCTGCAACAGCAGCTGGGGCTGCAGAAGACACCTGCGCCATGTCACTGCTTTTGCTGGTCTATGGCGCATGCATAGCACCCGGTCCTGCAGCTATAGTTTTGCAACAGGGAGACGAACAGGGCAACTGGAGCAAAGTGCGAGCAGAAGCTGCACAGGTGCACACGAAGGAACGATCCAACTGGAGCCTGGTGCACCGATAGAACGGCTTCTTTTGCTTCCCTCTTCGGATGGATAACGGAATCATGCGAAAAGACAGGCGTGGGGCATGTAGCAGCCATACATCGTTGGCAATGTGCGACATGTAAACAGTGGAAGGGGACTCTACCGAGATTGCTGCCTCATCACTCGTCTTATTGCGCGCGAGCAATGCGGAGGACCTTGGGAGCAGTTTTACAACCATCCGGTAGACACACACACACACACACACACACACACACACACACACACACACTAATGGTGTAAGGAGCCGAAGCCACCTCCACCTCCCGCACAGCTGATGTCGCACCAGAGTTACGAGCGAAGCGAAGGTGTTGAGCAGCAGTGGCGGCAACAGGGCTGTATAGGAATGTAAGAGATAGAAACGAGATGTGGGGGAGCGCCTTCTTCTTCTCGCGTTCTTCATCCCCTAAAGGGGGGAATAAGTGCACCAGGCAGTGAACTCCAGAGCAGGCGGGGGACTGCCTGAGGGGGCCAAACATGCTAGGTGTGCTACCCTGCCCCCCTACTAGTCCGTACTACTAGTCCGTACTGTCAACCCGCAACACCCCCAGATGGGCGCTGTGTATGCACCCCATCACGTCATCATGACTCCATCCCTCATCTCTACACCTCTCCCTCTCTCCCCTTTCCCTCCCGCATGAGAGGCACCGACACACACAAAACACAACACGCACACACACACACACACACTCACACACGCTGCATTTCGATGTAGATGGTAATGTTCCCTTCCAACACACATACATACACATGCACATAGATGCATACACAAACACTCATACATGTGTACAGGCCGACCGTTGCGGGTGCGAGTCATGTAACTAGCTACCATTAGTCACGTCGTACACTCCTAACCCACCCACCCACGCTGGGGCCCCCTAGGCCTAGGCAAGTGCCTCCGGCGGCACAAAACACCCAATTCGGCAATACCTCCCCCCCACACACACACTTACTGTAGCTGCTGCTGTAGCTGCTACTGGGTAAGACGCGCCGTCACACTACTGACGGGAAATCAGTAATACTGAGGACATGAGGATATGGCCACATGGGGTTGGTTGCCGGGAATCGTACAACACGTAACCCGTGCACGCCACCCCCACCGCTATCCAGCCCCCCCCAACCTCCCTAGGTCCTCCTGCCGCTAGCAGGCCGTGTGGTCGGCATCCCAACCATCCGACTCGCGCTCAGCTCTGGAGGCATCGCCCCCATCTGGCGAGGCGAGCCGGCACCTGCACCTGAGGCACTGCGGGACGGGGGGGCCCCCGCCGCCGCAGGAGCTGCCGCTGCAGCACCGCCAAAATCGGCAACGATGTGGCCGTGAGCCGCTCCCACCTCCAGCCCCGCAGTAGCAGCAGCAGCAGCAGCAGGTATCGGTAAGGGCGGGCTGGTGGAGGTGATAGGGGCAGGGATGGCAGCTGCGGCTCCGCCGCCGCCGCTGCCGCCACCATACCCAGCCCACGGCCTGGCGCTGCGCGGGCGCTGTACGGCACCCAAGTTGGGTCCTATGGCGGCACGCAACGCATACGTGGCAGCCGACGGCGGCCGCGCCCCGGATGCCCCGACACCCCGCCGTATTAGCGGACTGCCACCGGCCCCGCCGCCACCACTACCGCCGCCGCCGCCAGCCCCATACACGTTCCCCTCACCGCCCCCGCCGCCACTATAGCTAGGCCTGCCCGCCGCCGCCGCCACCGCCTTGTGGCTAATCGGCCGCAACCTTCCGGCGGTGCCGGGCCGGATGCTGCCCGCCAGCGGCGGCTCCGTCAGCCCTGGCGCTGTCGTACCGCGCACGTCCAGCACCGCCGCTGCGCCGTGTGCCGCCACCACCGGCGTTCCCCCTCCTCCCCCCCCCGGGCCCCCCAGCTGTATCAGGGGGAACTCCAGGGATTGCACCAGGTCGGGCGCCACCGTCTTCAGGGCTGCCAGGGTCCGGCGAAGGGCCGCGTTCTCCTCCTTCACAAACTGGTGGCTGGACCGGAGCTCCTCGTACCTGGTTGGTCCGTTACATGTTGGTTAATTCTGTTAGTTTGTTGGTTGTTGGTTTGTTGGTTGGTTATTAATTGGTTGTTGTGTGGCAAAAGCAGCATCACCACAGCAGTGTGAGGCGTGTGGATGGTGAGGGGGAAGGGCCGCCGGTCGCTAGTCAAAGTGGCGTCTTTAGCCGCACAGCTGGTAAGGCAAGGGAATGGAGGGGAACGGGAGGGATGCCTCTCCGCCGTACACCGGACGCGTAGGAGTGATGTACCATGTACGATAAGAATAATGTGCAAAGTACGATAAGGGAGTGATGTACGGTGTACGATATGAGTGATGCGCGATATACGCTACACCCCGCATATGCACACAGATATAAATACAGACAGCAAGGACATACACACACACGCACATACCTGCGGGAAAGGATATCCGCCTGTACAGGACTCAATGTCGATCTCCCGAAAAGGAAACTGCCACGTGGGCTTGGAGTAGCAGCGCCACCCCCACCCCCACCCCCGCCACCCAGGGGAAAGCTGCCGCCGCCGCCGCCGCCGCCAGCACCCTCCTCGTCACCGCTGCCAGCAAACCCCCCGCCGCCGCCGCCGCCGCCAGCGCCAGCCCCCGTCACCGCCGCCGCCAGACCCTCCGCCGACGTCCCAGCAGGCACCTGCGCAACCGCCATGTACTGCTGCTCCAACCGTAATAACCGCTCGAACACGTCATTCTTAACCAACCGCTCGTTATTCAGATCAGCCTTGAGCCGGGCGACCTGCGAAGAGCGTGATGATGTTGATGACGTTAATGGTGTTGGCGGTGAAATAGGGCCGGGGGAAGGGGTAAACGCCGGGGAGCTGTGTGTATGTGTGTGTGTGGACGAGGGAGGTAGAGAACCCCGAGGGGGATCGAGGGGAAGGGCGGCGTGGGAGGGTGTTGAGGAGGAGCCCGAGGGTGGCTGGTCGGGAGGAGGGGGTTTATTCGGCTTGCGGTGTAATGCACACGTCTGTCCATCTGTCTGTCTGTCTGTCTGTCTGTCTGTCTGTCTGTCTGTCTGTCTGTCTGTCTGTCTGTCTGTCTGTCTGTCTGTCTGTATTTACGCATGTATGTATGTACGCATGGAGTTCAATGATTGGGCAATTGGGAGGCGGCGGCGACGGGAGGGGGGAAAGGTGGCTCTCCTCTCAAGAGGGAGTCATTACGGTTATACATACCGGTTAGCAGTGTGGAGGTCGCCATGAGCCCCAAGTCCCCAGAACCCATAAACACACACACACACACACACACACACACACACACACACGGAGCAAGAATGCAGCCACCTACTCACAAAACCCTAAGCCCCTAAGACCAGAGGAGGAGGAAACTTTGAAACACACCACAAGACAGAGATACACACAAGCAAGAGATGAGACACACATACACGCCACACGCTTGGGCCCCCTCCCCCTTTTTCCACCCTCCTCCCCCCCTCCCTCCCCCCTCCCCCCACACACCCACACACCCACACACCCACACACCGACCTCTTGTTGCATCTGCCGCCGCTCCACATCCCACCAGTGCTGCCGACTGCCCTCCAGCTCCGAATCACCTCCACCCCCCAAGGCCAACAAAGAACTGCTACTGCCGCCCGCATTCATGCCGCTGCTGCTACTGCGACCCCTCTGTGGCGGACCGTGACCCCCGGGCCCCATCACGTGCAGGTAGGAGGGGTGCTGCTGCTGCTGCTGTCGGTGCGCCGCCATGAGCTGATTGCCCAGCAGCTGCATAAGGCCCTGCTTACTGTTGACCCACTCCCTCCAGGCCTCTCGGTTACGAGTGATCTGAGCCATCTGTATGTACGTATGTACGTGTGAATGTGCGTATGTTGGCGGGGAGGAGGAGAGGAGAGGGGAGGAGAGGGGGAGGAAGGAGGGGCCACGTCTGAGAGGGTGGCAGGGCTGAATGTTCGAGTGTATTCGTGCAGGTGCGGCCTAGGTTACGCTGCGGGGCCCAACCCCCCATTAAGCTCCTCCGCCCCGCACGAGCCCTGCCCTTCCGCCGCCACGCGAAACGCGAACATTTCACCGCTTCCGCACACCGTAGCGCTTCTTCTTCTGAATGTATGTATGTATGTATGGCAAGGCAAGCAGGTGCAAGTGGTGGCCGCAATGCAGCACCCCCATCAAATACCCCACCCCAGGAAAACACACATTCCCCCCAAAACCACCCCCCACACACATCCCCCCC